TTATTTAATTTTATAAGTTATATTAAAAAAAAGCTTAAATTATAATTATTAAGGCTTAAATAATTATTAAATAATAATATAATAAAAAGCATTATTAAATATAATTTTAATTAAAGAATTAAATATATATATTTTTAAGAAAAAAATATAACTTATTAAGGAAATTAATATATAAATTTTTTTAATAATAAATAAAATTATTTAAGGTTTAAAAAAAGATAAGTAAGCTTATATATTAATTAATGCTTTTATTATATATAAATATATATATAATAATTTTAATTATTTAATTATTTTTAGCTTAATTATTAAGCTTTAATTTATATAATTATAATTCTTTATTAATAAAAGCTATAAATATTATTAAAAATAAAGTTAAAAGCCTTAAAATCTTTAAATATTATAAAATAAAAAGAATTATTTAAAAATAAAATTATAAAATAAGCTAAGGCTTAATAATTATTAAATATTTTATTAAATAAATAAATTATTTATATTATTATAATATATATAATATTAACTTATTATTTATAAATTAATAAGTTAATTAAGAACTTTAAGGTATAAAAAATTAAAATAAAGGCTTTTTATTAATAAGTTAATTATTATATTATAATAAAGCCTTTACTTTTTAAGTTAAAAGATATTTTTTAATTAAGCTTATTTATTAAATAAAAAAAGTTATTAAAAAGGAAGATTAATAATAGCTTTATTATTATAACTTTATTATATTAAAGTAATATATAAGTTATTTAAAAAGTAATTACTTAAGTATAAATAATTTATAATAAATTTATAATAAATTAATATATTTAATTAACCTTTTTAATTATATTACTTTAATTATTTATAATTTTATAATATATTTTTTTAACTTTTATTAATATTATTTATTATTAAATTTAATTAATTATTTTATTAATTAATTATTATTATATTACCTTAAAAATATATTATTAATTTTATTATTTTATAATGCTATTTATTTATAATAAATTAATGCTATTATAATTATAAATTTATTAAGGTTAATAATCTTATTATATTAAACTTTTATATAATTTTAACTTAATTAATTAAAACCTTAATATAATATATTTATAATAAAGTTATATATTTAAATATTATTACCTTATAGCTAAGCTATATAAGGTTAATAAATTATTAATAATTAATTATTATTAAGCAGCTTATTTATATAATAAAGAAATATATATATTTTTTTATATATATATTATTATAACTTATTATAATAATTTATTTATTTATTATTAAAGTAATTATAAAGCTTTTTAATAAACCTTTTATAAAAAAAGATATAATAGCTTTTTTAATTATAATATTAAATATAATGTCTTTATTTTTTATAATCTTTTACTTAATTATCTTATTAAATGCTTTATTATTAAGGTATAAGCTAAATTATTTATTAATTAATATTTTATTCCTTATTAAATTAATTATAATAACTTATTATATTATACTTAAAACCTTTATAATATTATATAAAAAGATAAGTAAATATTAAAGAACTTAAAATTAATAAAAGAAAATAAGCAAAAGCATATAATTAACTTTCTTACTTATAATTATTATAATAATCCATTAAGCTTATACTTATATAACTTATTTTTTAATATTTATTATTAAGGTATATTATAAAATTATTAATATAATATATCTTTTAAAGATTAAGCTTATAATTTATATAATTAATTTATTTATTAAAATAAAGAAATTTTAATTATTAATAAAAAAGCTATTATTATTATTTTTATTATAGCTATCCTTATTTATATAATTAAAAACTTAAATATATACTTAATTAAATAAATTATTAATATTAAAATTAATAAAGTTATTATTTTAATATTAATTATTAAAATTAATTAATTATTTAATAAGGCTTAAAAGCCTTAATTTTTTATTAATATCTTTTATTATCTTAATTTTAGCTTTAATTTATTTATTTTTAATTATAAATATAAAGTAATTATTAATTTTTTTAATAATAATAAAAATAATATTAAGCTTATTTATTTAATTATTTTAAAGTTTAATTTTAATAATTTATTTATATTTTTAATTAAAAAAAAGGTTAATATTATTTAATTTAAAAAGATAAATTTAATTATTATTATTATATTTTTTAAAATTAAAAACTTTTATATAAATATTATTATATTTATAAATAAATTTAAAGAAATTATTAATCTTAAGTTTAATTTATATTATTTTATTATTATTAATTTCCTTAATAATTATTTTATTTAATATAATAATATAATTAATATTAATAATTAATATATTATTATTATTTTTATTTATAATAAGTATATTATTATAACTTTAATTTTATATATTTTCTTTATTAATTTATATAAAGCTATTAATATTTTATACTTTATTAATTTAAATAATAAAATTAATTATATTTTTATTAACTTTATTTATATAAATTATTATATATAAATTAAAATTTTAATATTATTAAGATTTATTATAATAAAAATAATTAAATTAATTACTTAATTATTATTTATGCTTAAAAAGTTAAGTTTAATAACTTTTTAATTATTATTAATTAAAATATTATATATAATTATATAATTAATTTAATTAATTATATTAAAACTTATAATATAATAAAGTATTATATATTAATTAATAATAATAAGGGTTAATTTAATTATTATTAATATTATTAATAATATAATTAATATAATTTAAAAAATTATTAATAATAATTATAATAATAATAATGCTATTAATATTAATTAAGTAAAATTAAATATTAAAGATTTTTATATTATATATATTATATATTTATATTTTATTATAATAAGAATTAAAAAGAAATAATATTATTTTTATTTTATTTTATTTTAAAAAAGTTTATTATAAATAAAAATAATTTAAGTTTTTTTTTTTAATAATTAATATATTAATTAATTTATAAATTAATAATTTTATATTAATATAAAAAAATATTATAAAAATAAAATATATTAATAATTATAATATTTATATATATAACTTAATTTACCTTATAAATATATAATTATATTTATTATTTTATTTATTTTATTTTAAAAATAATACTTAATAAATTTATAATAAATTTATAATAAATTTATAATAATAATTAAAACTTTTATTATAATATTATAAAGATAAATTAAATTTAAAATCTTATTATATTTAATTATTATATTTTTTATATTATAATATTATTTATATATATTCTTAGCTTAATTACTTTATTATTAATTATTTTAATAAACCTACCTTATATAATTTACTTTATTATTATTAAGTATAATAAAAATAAATTAAGTTTTATTAATATATTAAATTAAAATATACTTTATTATTTACTTAAAAATAAAAGTTAACTTATTATATTATTTATAAAAAAAACCCTTTAATATTATTATTAATTACTTTTATTATATTAAATATCCTAATTAAATTATAAATATATTTATATAATTATTTTTCTTTAATATTTAAAGTTTATAATAATAGCCAAAATACTTTATTAAGAACTTTTATATTTTCTTTACTGCCTTTTATCATTATTAAGGTAGCTCCTAAGGTTTAAACTCCTTATTCACCACTATTTCCTAAATTTACCCAAGTTTAAACTACTTACTAATATTATAAGAAGATTATGCTTAAAAGCAAATTATTTATAAGAGGGAATTTAATGCAGTATGGATGGGTCACAATAAATCTGCGGTAAATTCACCGTGAATTTACGGGTACCTATGAATTCACGGTACTTTCATAGTGAATTCACCATGAATATATGGTTTTACGGTGAATTCACCGTGTATATATTTAAATAGAGAAATTCCCCGCGAATTCACCTTGAATTCACGGGGGACATTGAATTTCAAACCTTTGTTCCCATTAATAAAGTAATATTAAAACATATAAATTCTAAGCAGAATCTAGCAAACTGGCTTACAAAACCAATAGATAAACTATATTATAAAGAGTTTAAAGAAAAGTGTAGTTTAATAGAAAAATAATATAAAAATATTAAGCTAGAAAATAGAGAGATTTTCTACTTATATTATAATGCATGCAAAATAAATTAAGGTATTTACTCTTTAATAACTAGGGTTAAGATTTTTTCCTTTACTTATAAAATATATAAATAAATAAAGCAAACTTAATTATATATATATATAATATTACCTTAAATATTAAAGGTTTTCTCTTAAAAGAAATAATTAAAATAATAAAGGTTTTTCTTAAAAAATAAGCATTACTTATATAGCTTATATATATATTATATATATATATAGTTATAATATATTTATATTGCATTTATATATGTTTAATTTTATATAAAAAATGTATTTTTATAATATATATAATATAAATAAAATAATGTGTAACTTTAATGTATAAAAATGCCGTAATATATTATAATTATTATAAAATAATTAGTAAATCTTATATAAAATTATAATTTAATATGTAATACCTTATTAGCTATAAGTTTAAGTTTAAGTAATAGCAAATTTTTATGTTTTTTGCCTAAATATATAAAATACTTAATAAGTGAGTTTTTCCCCTTTTATAAGGTTTTCTCATTATATAACTAAATATTTTTCTTTTATAAACTAAATCCCTTATATATAAAATAAAATAAATAAAAGGGAATTAGTTTAAGGGGGGCTGTTAGAATATTCTAGATATTTAGGCTATTATTAATATGGGATATCCTTTTCCCCATATGTTTGCTACTGTATGGAGGATAATAATTATAAATAGGGGCCTTCCCTCCCGTAGAATAGACGTTAGCTAGCTTAATAGACTAAGCATCCAACGCTATTATTTGACACAGACGTCGTTGACTGGGAGATTGAGTCAAACTTTCAAACACGCCGTTGAAGCTGACGATTCCACTCTAGGCCTCTGAGGAAGTACGAAAGTATTCACTAGCGTATATGATCCTCCACCAAGTTAACTGCATTGCCTCCACCTTAAGACGGGATCTTGAATCCGGTGATCCTAAGTTTCTGGAAAACACCATCCGGATCTACCCTCTTCGCAACATCTTTGAGAAACGCCACATCCTTCTTACCGTACGACGCGATCGGATTCTGGTCAGCCCAAGCATAGTTGAGGTACCTCCAGTCCTTGTACACCCCAATTTCCTTGGCGTAAGCGTCGATTTCCTTTCGGAACTCCTGCGCGAGTGGAAGCATCCTGTCTTGTACGTCGGGTGTTTCACATGTTAGAATGACAAGCCAGTTGGTCGTGGGCCCATCGGCCACCACGTCCTCAAGCCCAAGGATGTTGCCTCCATTCGCTTGGCTGTGCTTGACCATTGATTTCGTGAAGGGCTGGAACTGTACGAGAACGTCGTAGGTTATATTCTGTCCACTTTCTTGTTCCATCTCTTGTGCTATCCTGTCCAATTGCTCGCCGTGTACTTGAAGTCTATCGTCGACGAAGGTCATCATACGGAAGTCGTCTTGGAATTGGCCAACGAACCAGTTGGCGCTTGAACTACGGTGTTAGCAGTGGCATACTGGAAATCCAAGCCGGATATTGTTATACTTACTATTGACCGAGTGGCGTGGGACCAGTGAACTCAGGGACAATTTCGGCAACGGCCGCAACGCGAGAAGTGCTGCTGATATTACGTATGTTCTTGTACTCATCAAAGGCTGCAGCATTGCTAACGGCGTCGCTGTTCGTCAAGATTCCTCTGAAACCGTAACCCCTGTGAGGCCCCCAAGACATTCCTACAATGTTCTGGCTTGCAGGATCCTGGTCCATCTTTTTGGCAAAGTTGATATAGGCTCTGAAGAGCTTGTCTCTTTCCGTCAGGTTGTACTGAGTGAGACCTCCCCACATGTCGGTTTGTTCGATAACTTCTGTGAGGGCTGTGAGTCTCTATACATTAACCGGAATTGTTCGTGGACTCACTTTGATCAATTCTGGTGACGAAGCCCAGGTTGCCGGAGCCGCCTTTCTGAGCTCTGAAAAGGTCAGGGTTCGAAGTCGAGTTGGCATTGACTATGGTGCCGTTTGCGAGAACAATCTCGAAATTGGTCACAGTGTCACATGCGAAGCCGTGGGCATTGGTATGGAAGGAGTACTGCAAAGACCGTAGTCAGCAACAGATTTCAGTAGTAAGAAGGGGCATCGGGAGCGAGTGTACTTACACCACCGCCAGTCACAAAACCTCCAACGCCGACGACTGAGGCCCGACCACCAACAGTGGTCACATTCCAGTCATCCCTGAGCGTCGTGTAGACCCTCTCCCAAGTAGAGCCAGGACCTATCGAAGCAATGTTGGTCACATTGTTGTAAGTCGTCGTGTTAATATAGCCTAGAAACAGCGTGAGTCAAGCTCAAAGTGATCCAAGATACGGCTGCGCTGCTTACCAAAGTCAACGGTGATACCATCCTCAGCACCATTGGACCCTTTGAAGGCAGAGTGCGCGCCACTCCGAATACCGAACGGGCACTGATGCTCGGAGATGACCTTAGCAATGCGTGACACGTCTAACGTGTTTTCCGGGAGAACCATGCACCAAGCGGCTTGCGCAGCGTTGGCGGAATAGTAAGACTGCAGACGCTTGTCGTATATCTCTGTATTGGGCACAAGCACCTTGCTCTCTAGCTCAGGGTCCTGGGCGAGGGCAGAACACTTCGCCGGTTGTCAGCACATCAAATCCCGATGCTACGAGGGAAAACGACTTGAAAGATGGTAGAACAGACGCAAACGTATTTGGGGCTGCGGTCACTAGTGATGTCGACGCCCAATGCCGCTGGGAATAGCAAGACGAAGATGGCTTGGCCCAATGCGAACATCATGGTTACCAAAGTCGAGCCGAACTGACCTTGCCACGCGTGAAAGAGGGGTCTGGGAAGGAGTAAGATTGAATAAGGGACAGGAAGAACATGAAGATTTTGGGGAGAGCGGAGCAATAAGACAAGACTTGCGTGGTGCTCCAGAAGACTTCTGTGTCGGGATGATAAATGGGGAACGGATGACCAAGATTGAAACTCACGAAAACAAAGAGATATGTGTCATCTTCTATAAGCGATTTGCATGTCTGCTTCGGTGCAATGAGCTACTTATGGTCCTCGCCGCTATTGAAGACAACTTCGCTCAACATAGCCCCAGAATGTAACAATAAGACCCCAAGAGCTGCAGTACAACCAAATTTCGTCCCCAAGACCCCAAGCCAAGCCTGTGGAGTGCAGATCCTATTGACACACATACGTCCCAAAAGTCTACAAACCCACATGGGGTGGCTGTTTAGTGTCGAAACCCACAGATGGGGTCTGCCGTCTCTCTCTCTCTCCCCCGATGACTGGGGGGGCAAGAATCTGCCGCTGAGCCGTTCAAGCAAGAAAATCCCGTGGAGGGATCACCCGCGCCAAGTGAAGAGGAACAGACAAGACATCTAAGAGGTTGTCCTGGACGGGGAAGCTCGGCCATGCTAGCTGCTTGAAGCAAGGCCTCTCGCATAAGCTGCAGGGCTTCCAGGACCTGATTCAGTATTTCTTTGGTTCATTGAGCCGTGTTGCTGCGTGCGCCAAGGAAGGAGGCCTATTATGTCCATTTTTACCAATTGAATACAACACATAAGACGCTCACCGCGATTCATATCCTTGTCTAGAACGGAACAAGATTACATGAACTATTTGAACCACACCATCAGATTTGGGGAAAAGAAAGAAAAAAAAGGATGGTGCGAGACCGTTATAACAGAACCTGATACTTTGGTATAATCGATATCTAAAGTATAATCTATCCTTTGTGTGTTGGGGGGGGGGGATGGCGATGTTATGTTCCAGCAGGCAAAGTGGTCGTGTACACGGAACAAGCCCTGCGAGATGGTTGAGTGCCATTTTGACCTTGTGGGTGTTCGTTCTATCCGAGCCACTCGCATATGCGTCTGTCTAATGTCCTCCAATGATGATGCATACGAAATGCAAGCCAACCAGTAAGTATCCAGAAAAAGAGTGCGCCACTCCCAAAGACTCCAACATTTCAATTGTCAAGACCCTCATGCCCCATTCATTTAATCATTTCGTCACTCATGCGTGTATGTGTCTTCCATCCATGTAAATGCCCTTCCTTGCAAATGCGCAGTGTCAAATGCCAGCGGTCGTGTTGTGATGTGCGCTACCACGTGTCGGGCCCAAAACGACCACCCTCTGGGACGGTGTTGTAAGAGCAGGCCTGCCAGTCGCAGCCTTGCTTATACACCTCTGTGCCCCACCAACTGAAGTTCTTTGTCCAGCCTGGGTAGATCAGCCCAAAGAAGACAACGACTATGCCAAATGCGAGTCCCGAATCCAGAGCTGCACTCAATGTCATTGTGTACTTGGCCCACCATGCCTGTGCCCTGTTCTTGATCAGATAGTTGAAGAAGTAGCAGATGACAGCCCACACTGAGAAGTTGAGGCCAGTCGCAGGTGGTATCCAACTCAGGGAGCCAAACAACACCGGTAGATTGATCTTGCGAACGATGCTCTTCTTTTTGTTGCGGCTGTAGAAATACAGCGGGATCGGTGCGACGGCTCCCAGGAGGAAACACCAGACAAGCGGTCGGTATGTTGCGTTGGGCCCAAAGAATTCACCAGGTCCAACAACACCCCACAAAATAGAACCGTTGAAATGCACTCGGGCAAGTGGACATGTGAAGCCATTAATCGCCTCAGGCGTGCATATGCCGGGAACGTTGACAAACATCCAGTTCAGTACCCCGATCTGCGTCAAAGACGAGATGATGGTCGCCACCATTTGGACCCAGAACAAAGTCCTGGGCGGGATCTTCATGTAGTGGCCAAGCTTCAGATCAGCCGCGAACTTGATACCTTGCGAGGACGATATGTAGCCGTAGGTGACGAAAACCATATTGGCAACCGGGCGACCCGGGAAGACGGCACCACAGACCAGCTGACAGATCAGATAAATACTGCTGTGCTGATTCGTTACCGCCATGATGATGCCGATGGGAATGAAGAGGATGGTACAGATCCCTAGCGCAAGCAGCAGCCCGTACCAAGGTAGGTGAATCGGATAGTACTCGACGACAAAGATGCCCACCACCAGCATCGTCGCAAATGTGATCAGATACCACGTGATGGGGGCATCTTTGTACCGCTTCATTAGCCGGTTGTGGACGTCTTCTCGATTCATCAAGCCCTCGAGACCGGAGCCTGACATTGACATGCTTCGACGTTGTCGCACGCCATTCTCATGCGGCCTTCCGTTTGTGGAATCTTCTGGTTCGTTGGCAAGTGGCTGATAGGCAGCCTTTGATTCCTCCTTTGCCTCTCGCAACGACCTCGTCCATTGCGTCCAGATGTCGTGGCCATGCCAGCAAGCCGTGTGGGTTAGCAACGCTGCCAGTCCAGCGAACTGAACACCGTAGCTGAGGACATATGTGATGGGAAGGAAGACTCGGCTGTAGTTCTGGTACGCCTCCCTGTCAAAGACGAAATCCTTTGTCAGGATCTTGCTGACGTCGTAGACTTTGCCAGTGTTGTCGAACACGGCTGCCGACAGAATAGGCATGTACGAAGAATAGAGCCAGTTGCCGTAATAGGCAATGGGTGCAATGATCCACATGACCAGGACCAGTCCGCCAACGACGTTCATGGCAGCCCAGAACGGCGTGAGCAAGGGGCTCCCGATGTAAGCTATCTGAGCCCAGTCGAACGTGACAGGGAACAGCCCTAGACCAGAGGTGACACCAAAGAGGTTGGCCACCACGACGTTCTTCGGCGCGAACCATGTGAGGACGTTGAAGTAGCTCAAGCATGGCATCAGCAGACCTGGAAAGAAGTAGAAGAGGAAAGACACGGTCCAGACGACGTAGAAGAAGTTCCACCGGCTTATGCGCCATCCGTCTGCCGGCTTATTCTCCTCTTTGTGGAGGGTCGTGAACATGGCGGCCGACATCAGGGTGCTGGGCCAGATCATGCCGCTAGGTCGAACCAAGAAGCGCCTTGTCAGGCCGGCGAACGCATAGCCCAGGATTTGTGTCGACAAGGTCAGGAGAAGCTGGTAGGCGATGCTGGCGTCTTGTTTGTAGAACTGCGTTTGCTCGACAATTACATCGGTGGCGAAAGCAAAGCCGAAGGAAACGTTGCTGCTAACATAGACGCATGCATGCTCCTTTTCGTTCCACCGGCCTTGCGCGAGCCACAACCGTAAACGACCGAGTCTGGTTCGGGGAGTCGAGCTCAGAACCGGGTCGTCTTCATTCAGCGGCCCCGTCGAACCTTCGACACCGCCAGATAAGTTACCATCGACGAACAGCTCGGGAGGATCATCGCGACGCTTGAGAGTCAAGTCCCAGAGCAAACCAAGAGGGTGAACGAGTAGCAACGCTATGACAGGCGTGATGGAAACACTGGGGTATCTCAAAGAAAAGAACAAGTTGGTGGAAGATCCAATAATCGAAAACAAAACGCTGAGAGTCCACATGCGAGGTGTTGATATCGACAAGGTCGTATTGTCGTATGGTGCGACGGAGGCGCGGACTTGTGGATAAGGCGAGTTGTCGGGAGGGTCCTCATCGACATCAGAGGGTATTGGGACACCAACACTGTCGTCCTCCTCATCTTCAGTGTCAGTTGTCTTTGGGTCCGCAAGCACGTCGCTTGCCAGAGACGACTCGGTCACTCCATAGCGACCTTCTATCCCGCCGGTGACTGTGGAGCTGGCTAGCTCTTCCGACGAGCGCGAAAGCCGGCCCCGTGACACGGACTTCCGGAGTGATGAGTGGGACTTGGCTGATCTTGTAGTGCGTGTGCCACCACCATGCGTGTCTCCGTCACTCGAGCCCTCGCCTGCGTCATTGCTGGCGTCCGATGTAGCCGTGGTATCACCTGCTGACCCGAGCGGGACAGCGCCGTAGGATGGCGACCGGAAGCCTGGCGAGGAGCGCAGGAAGGGCGGCGCCTTGTTTAGGAGTTGCATGGGGAGTTGGTCGGAGGGTCGTGCGGCGACATCCGGGCTCTCGTTGGCAGTGTCTCCTCCAGAATGAACAGATTCAGTGCTCGTGCCATGTGAGAGGTCGAGGGAGGCATCTGGGGAGGCAGGAGCGGAGGATGCGTCGGTTTTGACGTTGGGAGAAGGGTGGGATGGTGGGTCGGGAACGGCAGGCAGCGGATTGTCCCGCTGCTGTGCCAGAGCAGGCGTGGGGCGTTGTCTTGCTTGATCTGCCTGGCCTGTGTGAGTGGGAGTGGGACGGTGACTTGATGACCCTGGCAGCGGGCGCAATGGGATGGATTGGTGCAGCTGAGGCTGGGTCTGACCGGCGGCAGCGGTGGCACGGGGGTCTGAGTCTGAATCGAGGCCGAACCCAGGGGTACCCTCCGTGTCTATGCCGCCTGGATGCGTCATACGCGCCAAAGGCAAGGCGAACAGGAAGGATAGCGTTGATAGATCTAATCTGATCCGCCGATAGGAGGTGAGGCGATGGGGGCAAGTGCATGCAGCGCGCAGAATGACATGCGGCCGCGGGGGGTGTGGGGGGGTACCTGCAGTCTGCAGTCACGAGCGGTGGAGCTGACGGGTACCGAGCGTGGACGTAGGCGTGGGAGGCGGCTCGAGTCTCGACACGAGAACCTTGGAATCCTCGAGGGAGCAAGGCCAACGAGCGCCTAGCGCAGCACAGCAGCCGACCGACGCGATGAAACGTAACGTAATGGGATGGCCTCGGAGAGAAGACGAGGCGTGGGATGGGCACCAGCTGACAGGGTGCTGCGACAGTAGGAGGCGCAGGATTGCAGCTGTCTGATGACACTGACGCCGAGACTGGCAGGCAGAGCTGGTCTAGTAGGGTGGTGTCGAGGCCCCTTGCTACTTGGCGGGGGTCTGACCTGCACGAGGTGATAGTGGTCCAAAAATGACCCAAATATGACCGATAGAGAGCGAGAGGCGAGTAATTTGTGACCAGCGGAAAGAGAGACAGCGTCGGGCGGGGCAGTAACCTGATAGCTAGGTAGCCAGCCCAGCCACCCCGGGCAAGATGGGAGCTGGAGCAGGAGCTGGAGATCGGCCGATAGACGAGAAGCCGCCCTGGGGTTCAGCACTGTGTGACTCTGGCAAGGCTGTACGAGTTGAACATTTGAGTGCTGACTCCTTGTGAGACAAATTTGTGTGAGGAAGTCGGCGGCAAGTAAGTTGACACGACAGCAACAGCACATGCCAGCCAACCACAGAACCTTGTAAACCCCAAATTGACGGCGGATGTGGCGGATGTGCTTGCAAAGGGAACCCTGCCTCGTGCCCGTCTCTGGCATGCAACCTTGTTGATGAGATTGATAAGATAACCCCATCGCTGTGCCGAGCAGAGGGCCTTCCCGTCTTCCGACGTCCGATCGCCGCAGTCCTGGATTGCCGTCGTCTCGTTTCAATCTCAAGTCTTCTAACCGCTTCGGCAGATATGGAATATACGCACCGGGCAAGTGTGTACTTACTTGCGTTGTGCGAGCAGCAATAGCTGCCTTCCGATGCAGACAGACCCCCGCAACAGGGAGACCACGAGAGAATTGCGGATACCGGCTTGAGAACAGGAATTTTCTTCCCGCTGCAACCCTGAGTCACTCTATTTTTGCACGCAAGCGCACGCTCAGTAGATACCGCAGAAACAAGGCGTGGTTTGTTTGCGGTCGACATCCATATCCACAACGGCCGGCCGGGGGAACGAAGCGAACTACCAAGCTGCGACTGGTTCTCCGACGCCAGTTCCCGCCCCTCACACCATTGCAGGAACCTGATCTACACGCACCCTGCGACTTCGGACGCCGGGCCTCCCAGTCTGCCAATCTGACCTTCACATGTCCGGCAGGCTGCGCGTGTCTTAGCCCATCCTCCCCTTCCCACACAATCATTGCACCAATGAGCGGGGAAGTCAAAGCCGTAGACATGAATGCCGCCTTGTTCGCTGCAAAGCAGCAGTTGCGGTCTGCCATGAAGCAGAGGCTGGCTGCCCTCCCGCAGGACGCCGTCAAGGAGCAGAGTACGTCTAGTTCTACGCGGCCAGAGACTGATATTTAGATACATGCATGAGACATCGCAAGTGCTGAGTAGAGGCTAGGCCATATCATACACACCAAACTGCTGGAATTCGACCCCTATGTCGGTGCACATCGCATTAGTGTCTTCCTGTCGATGCCTTCCGCAGAGGTTCAGACCGACGCCATCGTCCAGCACGCTCTGGCCCTGGGCAAGCAGGTCTTCGTTCCCTATCTGCACAAGTCCCCTTTGTCTTCAGCAGGCAGCACCACGCCCACCCGGGTGATGGATATGGTCCGGCTCGACAGTCTCCAGGATTACCAGTCTCTCAAGCGGGACAAATGGGGTATCCCAAGTATAGATCCGGCCACAGTCCACTCGAGACAGAGGATTTTGGGCGGACCTGATGCACATCACTCAGACCAAGCAAACCTGGATCTCATCCTCATGCCCGGAGTCGCGTTCGACGTCGCCCCCGGCTCAAAGGAAATCAGGCGGCTTGGGCATGGCAGGGGCTTCTATGACTTCTTTCTCCAACGGTACGCCGAGAAGCTGGAAGCATTGAATCGACAGAAATCTTCTGTATTGCTCTATGGCCTGGGCCTCAAGGAGCAGTTCCTGTCCTCGGCTACAAACGAGGTCCCTGTCGGGCCGTATGATCAGCCTCTGCACGGGCTGATCTTGGGGGATGGAGACATCAAGACAGCCGTACCAAATCAAATAGATTGATCTCCCATTTTCGATTCCCCTCGAACTCCAACCGGCATGCTCTGCTCCCTGGTATCGGCTCCCAGTCCTAAGCCTATCCGGGATAGCTTCCCTCGACTGTGCGGTTCTCTGCACGGATATCTCGTCGCTCAATATGTTCCTCTTTCTTAACCTGACAAGCTCTGGATCAAAGACACGTTGTCGCCTTTCAACAGGATTTGGCCTGTGGACAGGGTTAGCTCGAATCAAATCAACAGTGCCCAGGAACGGGAGCAGCTGCGCACCGAGGTTTTTCCTCTCCTCCTTGTCATTCGTCTTCGTGATTTGCTTGACCTCGACTGCGTCATCGATCACCAGGTTCATGAACTCGTCGAATCCTCGGATCTTGCCTTCTATGCGGATAGCGAGCTGTGGGAACCACGCATCAATTAGTATGATGTGCCGAGTACGGGTGGCGGCTCAAGTAGATATAGCTCCCAGACTATTCGGGAAAGACGTACCTGCTCGTACAGCCAGATCTGGACAACCGAGTGTTGCTGGAGAAGCTTGAAAATAAAGTTGATGGGCGGGAGCAGCACACGGCGTCCGCCTCCACCTGCTCTTCCGCCTCCACGTCCCGTCATGGTTGTGCTTGTGGATGTGAGGTTCAACAGGAATAAGGCTTGGGGAGTCGAGAGAAGGCCGTTCGGGATCGAGGGTCAGGTGTTGGAGGCTGAAAGTTGTCGCGTGGAACTGGTCCGTGGGTGGTGTTGCGCGCAGCCTGTCGCGAAGTTCAGAGCTGGGCGGACTAGATGCCTGCCCAGTGGGAAATGGCGCTAAAATTATTGCTGGCCCAAACACAGCTGGCCGCCACACGTTGGAAGCCCGGGGCCCCCCTGCTATACCTTTGCTGCCCGGAGGAGTGCACATGCAGCTGGAAGCAGAGAGTGGACAAGCAACAAGGCGACAAGGACCCTCTCCATCCTGATCTGACGTTGAATTTCGGAGGGGCACGCCGCCGCCTCTCTTTGGACATTTGCTCTCAAAGAAGACAACCACACCCAAACCGCAAGACCGCGAACCGACCGTGCCTGTTTCTCTGCCACACGCCTGCAAGTGGTCCAATCTTTTCCACATCGCTTGTTTCTCGTCTGCCACTTTCATTTTTCTGAGCTCCGACGCCGTCAACGCGACTGCTGGCGCCCCTCTCATTTCAAGCAGCATAGCTGCTCCTCGTCGCAGCCCACGCACTTGCACACCCACCCAAGCCGACTGCCCCTCTCTGTGCTGCCGCCGCACATCAAACAGGATGGCTGCCAATGGTTCATCCGACTCGTTCGCCCCAGACACGATTCTGGCGGCCATGACGACCATGCGTGGTGGAGAGCCGGATAAGAAAAAGGTTGCGATGGACTACCTGACCAAATTCCAGAAATCGGTAGGCACAGCCTTGCGCCATACGTCACTCGGGGACGCCGCAACTACACGTCACTTTGCTAACATGACCTGTAGAAAGATGCCTGGACAACAACCCTCACGATCCTACAGTCCAACGCCGAGGCCGAGGCCATGCTGTTCGCGGCGACAACGTTGAAGGGAAAGGTATTACTCGACCGGGTGATACAACACACCGCCGACATCGACTGACATGCCCTCGGTAGATTACCTACGATCTTATAACACAAGTGCCAGAGGGCGACCTACCTGCACTTCGCGACCAGATTCTCCTGCTCCTCAAGAAGTTTGCAGCTGGGCCCAAACCAGTTCGGGTGCAGCTCTGTGTCTGCTTGGCAATACTCGCGATACAGTTGAGGTCCTGGAAGGATGTTCTGCCCACTGTTGTGTCTGCCCTTGGAAGCGATGTCCAGAGCGCTGGGGCTATCCTCGACTTTCTCCGAGTTCTCCCAGAAGAGGTGACCGAAGGCCGTAAAATTAACCTCTCTGTATGTGGATCGCCAGACGACGACCCGATCACCCATTCCGACACTACTGTGGTAATCTGAAGGACGATACAATCTCTAATAAACCTGGAATGCTAGGAAGATGAGCTCACTGAGAGAACCACCGAGCTCCTGGCCGACAACGCGGAGCAAGTCATCAACATCTTTATCAATTACGCCCAGTCATCAGGTTTGTCGATGGAACAAAAGCTCCGTGCAGCTAATGTCATTGCTAATCGTTCGCAGGCGACGCTGCTCACAACCCACAGCTCATGGAATGCATAACTTCGTGGCTACGCGAAATCCCCATCGACGCCATCGGAAAGTCCTCGCTCCTCAACATTGTGATCAACGCTTTGGACAATGATAACTGCTTGGAAGCCGCCGCCGAGTGCCTCGCTGCTATTTGCCGAGAGACAAGGGATGTGGACGACAACATCGAGATGATCCAGATCCTCCTGCCCAGGGTCGTCGAATTGCGGTCGCGGATGCAAAAAGCGGCCGAGGAAGAAGACACTGAGGCATTCAAGGCTCTAACACGTGTCTTTGCCGAGGCGGGAGACTCGTGGGTTGTCATCATCGCCCGTGAACCGTTGCACTTCCGGCCCCTTGTCGATATCATCTTGGAATGCGCCGCGAGGGACAAGGATAGGGATGTTATCGAGCACACCTTCAACTTCTGGTACGAACTCAAGCAGATGATTGTCATGGAGCGGTATGTCGACGCTAGGATGCATCTGTACGATGTTTACGCCAAGCTGGTGGATATTCTTTTAAAGCATCTCGAGTATCCCACATCCGAGAGTGGGAACGAGCTTGACCTTTTCGACGGTGACCGCGAACAGGAGGAAAAGTTCCGGGAATTCCGTCATCATATGGGAGACACACTCAAGGACTGCTGTCAGGTGCTGGGTGTCGCGGACTGCTTGACGAAAGTTCTCGAGGCCATCAAGCTCTGGATGCAAAAGTATGCGGGCGAGGCAACTGCGACATCAGTCCCGCACTGGCAAGAACTTGAAGCTCCCGTCTTCGCTATGCGCGCTTTGGGACGGATGGTTGACAAGGACGAGAAGACTGTCTTGCCGCAATTGATGCCATTGCTGGTGCAGATGCCTAGCCATGAGAAGCTGCGTTTCGCAACTATTATGGTCTTTGGGCGCTACACTGAGTGGACCGCACACCACCCTGAGTTCCTGCAACCACAGTTCAACTACATTGTTACCTCATTCGAGGCGGACTCCAAGGACGTTGTCCGGGCTGCCGCTCAAGCCATCAAGTTCTTCTGCCAGGACTGCAAGAGCCTTCTGAGTGATCAGGTCGTTCAGCTGCAGTCGTTCTACGACCAGATACTTGACAAGCTCCCTGTGATGAGCCAAGAGGAGATGACGGAAGGAGTCGCCAGTGTTGTCGGCGTACAGAAGAACGAAGAGGTCTACAGGCTTCTAAAGTTATACTGCGACCCACTGGTGAACCGACTAATGGTAAAAGCCAACAATGCCTCGGATGAAGCGGGAAGATTGGCGATCGCTGGTAAGTCCGCTCTTGAGCCACTGCTCAGGACAAGATTCTAATCTCATTATAGACCACGTGCAACTCCTCACGCTTTTCGTCCAGAATGTGGTTCCTCTAGTGGACTTCGGACAGGAGGATCCCGCTGTCAAATACTGGCAAGAGGTCTTCCCAATCCTGTCTACTGTTCTGGACAACTTCTCCGGGTTCTCGCCCATTTGCGAGAGAATCTGCAGATGTTGGCGCAACATGGTTATCTCGTACCGCACGGGGATCACACCTTTGCTGCCGCAGCTGGCCAACAAGCTTGCGGACGGTTTTGTAAAGACTAAGCAAGGTGCTTTCCTGTGGGCAACAGGTGCCATCCTCAGAGAATTCTCCGAGGATCGCGAGCATGTGGACGACGCCATCACCGAGAACATTTATCAATTCTTCGAGTCTCAGGCGACAAGCGTACTCAGGGTGATGAGTGACATCCCTCCAGCGGAGTTGCCCGATATTATCGAGGACTTTTTCCGACTGCTGACGGATGCGTTACTCTACTACCCTCACAAGCTGATCTTCTCACCACTCCTCGCCCCGATCTTCCAGGCCGGTGTCTCCTCTCTGGCGTTGGAGCAGCGTGATCCACTGTCGGCGACATTACATTATCTTCGGGATCTACTCACTTACGGTGGAAGCAACCCCGCGTCAACCATGCAGCTCGGACCTGCTTCTGATCAGATGCAAGCCACCGTCAAACAGCTTCTAGTGGCGCACGGTGAGCCACTGGTCAAGGCGATCTTGGCAGGCATGATGATCACATTTCCCCGGGACTGTTTTGCTGACGGCAGCGGCGTGCTCCTGGAGCTGTTCGAGCTGCTGCCTTCCGAGACCACGGCGTGGGTGGAGCGGACGATCAAAATGCTGCCCGAGGGCACAGTCAGCCCTGTCGAGGCGAACAGGCTGATCACGAAAATCAAGGAGAGGTTATCCGCAAACGATGCTGGAGGACTGAGGCAGGTAAGAGTGCTACTGCAGGATTTCACTAACACGTACCGGCGGCGGTACGTTGCCCCGCGAGACGGGCTGGGGCAGCTGGAGGGGGCTCGGTTCCACTATGAAGGATAGTTTTCTTCATTCGAGACGGGTATTGTAATACACATGCCATTTTTGCGAAGAGGGGTGTCAATAGAAATAGTTGGTAGTAGTTGCGCCCAGGGTTCGGCATTCTGAGAAGGGCAATGCTGTCGAGCGGGACATGCTCAATCTTTTTGGAATGGGGATGAAAGAGGACAAGGGCCACAATCTGCCGGTTACGCCATCACATGGTGGATATCGGGCGCCTTGCGACTCGTAGTACACGGGCAAAGATGGCAGAGACTACGAAGATTACACGGTGACGTGATCATGTACTGGTGATGAGGATGAGAGTCGATCTTCGGGCCAAAGAATTCCCTCCACCGGGGGCGAGGAAAGGCGAATACAGGAGATACGACGGTAGAGCAGGAACGGGACGTGGTGGTGGATGGATGATGGATTATTGATACATTGGCGGGCGATCTCGGATGGATCCAATAGACAGAATCGACGTAGTTAAAAACTCAAAAGTCTCTCCAACTATCTATTAGTCGTCGATTGCCCCTTGCCTTACTTCCTTTCACTTTTACCACTTGCGTTCGCTGTCTATTTTGATTTTTGCATTGCCCGAGTCGGGAATGCACCCAACTGGTGGCAGAAACACCCTGAAGGAATATCGCTTTTGATCCTTCCAGTGTGCGTGGCGTCAAAGCAACGGACCAATGGCTTTCAAGACAATGACCGATTCGCCTGCCGTTGCTGTTGCGCCCTCGTTGGGAAAGTAGGCACACACGAGTAGCCGCCAACGCCTTGGACCACATGGCCGCGACTGCTCGCCGTTCCTCCTGCCAGTTTTTTATGATGCTTTGAAGACGATGAATGTGGGAGAAGGTGGTGGTGCCCTTGGTGGTGGTGCCCTTTCACTGTCCCTTGGCTCGGTTCATAGGACCCCAATTCTCCCTCGGGTTGGTCTGGTACCTGACGAGCTTCTGCTTGAACTTCTCCCGGCCGAGCTTCTCGTCAAAGACGACCTCCGGCTTCTCCTCCGCACCACCATCCTCCTTCGCCCTCGGGGTCCGCGCCACCGGCCGCGGCCTCCGCGCTCAGCTCCTTCTTCGCACCGAGCCCCAGAAGCTTGTACCCCGGGCGAGCCGGGCTTTATGTTGGCCTCCTTAATGGGAGCTTTCTGCCGGATCCACTCCCTCATGACGTCCCAGAGAACGCCCCACGGCGCGTCGGTCTTGATGCTGCCGGGCTTGCAGTGGCTTCGAGTGACGCGGTAGCCCAGGCCGCGCAGCGCCCCACGGATGGCATCCTCGGGCGGGGTGGCGCAGTGCACCGTGCGGGCGAGGGCGGTGGGCAGGAAGAAGAAGGGGTACGGCTCGACCTCGGCCAGCGCGTCGTCCTTGGACTTTGGCGGGGCGCCCTCGGCTTCGGCTTCCTCCAGGTGCTCTTCGAGGGCGGTGGTCAGCATGCCCCTGACGCGCTCGGTGGTGCCGTACGTCTCCTTGCTCGCCTCGGGCAGCTTGTCCAGGATGCGCCTGATGAAGTCAGGGGAGTGTAGCCGGCCGCCGAACATTGGGCCGGCCAGGTGCATCTTGAGGCCGCAGTGCTCGCAGTGCTGGTCCACCGTGGGACCCTGCGCCATCGTGTGCTTGTAGAAGGAGCCGGAGCCGTTCTTGTTCGGTTGCGCCTTGTTCCTGAGCAGGAACTGGGTCGTCCACGCTCCACAACCGACGTCGCAGTTGTACACGATCATGGCCTTCCCAGCCGTGAACTTGACGGCTGCGGGCGACCGCGATACTCTGACAAACACGCGGGCATAGAAATCGATGGAGAGCGACAGGAGCGGCTCGATGGCCAGTCCGTAGCGGGCGGCCGAGGTGGAGATGGCGTGAAGAATGAGGCGCAGTCCGGCCTCGTGAGAGAAGAGTCCCTTGACTGGCACGCCGCCGTACAGGGCAAAGGCCTTCTCAGGGTAGCCGTTGGACGCCCACACGCCAGCATCGGTGCAGGTGACACACAGGAGGCCGCCGTCGTCACGGACCGCTTGCACGGCTGCATCGAGGAATGTCGCGGCGGTGCCGTACGGGTCGAGGTCGACGACATCGTATTTCTCGCACCTGCCCCTCCCCTTGTCCTTTTCGGTAAGCGTCTGCTGTGCGGCTATCTTGGAGTACATGTGGACGATAGCGTCGCCGTGGTTGACCTCGATCTTGCTATCTAACTTGTTGTGGAGCACGTTGAGTTTGATGGACTCCACCGCAGAGGCGTCGAGGTCGTTGGCGGTGATCTTGGTGACAAAGGGCATCTCTTGGGCATACCTCAAGGCACGCAGGCCGGTGGCAGACAGGGCATCCAGAATGGTGAAGGACGGCTGGTGTTCTTTCTTGCTTGTCTGAACACCCTGCCCGTTGGCACCTTCGTTCGCTTGCTCGGCTTGGCCCTCGACAGGAGCATCTTCGGTGGACAGATCCTGACCTTGTTGCGGCTCAGAGCCATTGGTGCTTGTCACCTGCGCTGTGGAAGGTTGAGCCTCCTGGACAGTAATCTCGTCTGCTGCTGGCGCGGCTTGGTTCTCGTCTTGTACATCGGCGTCGGCGATGGCGGTGGCGGTGGCGGTCGTCGTGTCATGGATTGAAGAGGAACCGTCTATTCTGGCAGCTTTGTTCGAGCCATCTGCATTCCTTGCCTCTCGTCGCTTCCTCTTCTTACCAGCTTGCAGCTGCCTCTTTGCTTCGATTTTCGCCTTCTTCTTCTCCACCATCTCTTCTCCGTACGCCCTGATCGCAAGGACGGTCAGGTCGCGGTTGAATTGCTGAATCGGGTTGTAGAAGACCGACTGGACTGGGCCCTCCTTGTTGCGTATGTCCTTCTGGTCGGCTGCGTCCTTTGCCGTCTGAGGCACCAGAATGTAGGCGCCGCCCTCCTGGATCGTCGTGTATCGCTTGCCATTATGGTCAACGAGCTGGCCGGCCGCGGGCGGGTCGCCGATGTGTCGGGTTTGCGAAGCCATGGCTCGCGATGGAGGAGGGAAAAGCGTTGTCGGTTTTGCCAATTGAGTCGCACGCCCCGCGCGTAGCCTGGAGGAAAAAGTCAACGACAGGCGCGAGAGCATAAGGGTAGCCAAACGGACTGCAAGCCGACCTGGAGAGCGAGGGGGTTGCTTGGGTTGCGGTGCACCTCGGGAAATTTCGTCACTCGAGCCGTTGCCGATCTCCAAGAAATTAAAGTTTTGCCGCTGGGCGGTCAAGATGAATTTTAGCTTGAGCACAGGCGCTGTTGACCCCAAAGCTCCATGTTGACAGCGGGACGAACCGAGATCTGTGGGGGATCCCAGCAGGTGGGCTGCTGATCCAAGGTTGTGTGCAGGCTCGGAGCTTCCAAACCGAGATCAGTCTGACCAAACTGGGGTTTTGTGATTGTATAATTCAATTGATCGATTCTGACACAGAACTCATTTATCATCCCATAGTTTCAGTCCATACAGTCAGATCTTATCACTCGTCACTCTGTAAACAGTTCTGCATAGCAGCTCGAACGGCCACGAAGACTTGTTAATGCCGTCCCCATGAGCGGTAGGAGTAACAGTCATTTCATTCGTGGATTTGGTTACTTGACGTTGAGCACAAGGGCTCAGACTATAATTATGCTGCGACATCGACACTTTCAACCCACAAATGCCAGTTCTTACTGTCTTCAATGCGTTCACAATAACAATGCTTCGAAAGAGACCTGAAACACGGAACTTGCCCAGCAGCCTTTAGTGTAATTAGTTACAGACAAGGACCATCATGCAGCACAGAATGTGCCGGGAACTCATTGTTCGAGAACGGCACCTGCACTAACACGGTCGGCTCATCGCTGGGGAACTCCGTATAATGCCCGGCGACAGTGCTTATCGAAGGCAGGTCGGCCGCGATCAGGAACGATGAGGATATCGTCCCGGGCATCGCGTAAGCAACATTGATTTCGACGGTACTGTTGACGCCTGGAGGAGTATAAGGGGCTGTGATCCGAATGAGACCGTTAAGAACACCGGTCAACCTGCCACAGCACTCGCGTCAGCAATATCCTTGGAGATGAAGACCTTCAAACCCTTCGCAAACACGAATCACCATGGACACATGTAGGGTGGGCAAAAACGTACTGCACCGCCGGGGCCCACGCCTCACCGACCGCTGTCCTCGGCTGGATTATGGACAGCTCCGCCTGGGTTGTGTTTGCGCTCACGATCCAGTTCAGGGCCGACCTTGCATTCACCGCCTCGGTCTCCAGCTGCCAGCACACAAGAACCGAGTACCCGCCGCGCGAGGACAAGGCCGTAATGTTGAGGGGCATGTTGGTCGGCCACTGTTCCTCCTCCCGGGCGATCGACGCCATGGGCACTCTCGACAAGACGCTGGTGAGGACTGACTTGAAAAGCATCCTGGGTTATGTACAAGGTGAAATCTGATGATCGGCTCTGAGGATACAATTAATTACTTGTGCAGCCCCGCATGTCGGGTCTTATCACCTCGAGGGCGAGGTAAGCCACCTCGATCATATGCTTTTTCCAGCCAGCCACGGCGGGCCAAGATGGTGGGCGGGTGAGAGCCGACTGGAGCTATATCCCAGGCGGAGATGCAACTTCTAGTTACCTTCAAGCCTTTCAACCCATGAAGGGGCTACCCGAAAGCCACAGAAGCCACGAGGAGAAGTGAGGTGGAACAACACACATCCTCCGCCATCCCGAAACCCTTGTGTCTCAATGCCCGCGTGCAGGTCTCAATCCCCACTGAGGTACTGTAGGGCATATCAGCAGGAGATGGCCGCATTCAGCATGCCATTGGACGGGATGCACGCGACCAGGCATACCGCTTGGTATCGGCAGCTTGTACTGTGAATATTCATAACAAGTAGATCCCAGTGCATGTAGCTGAATGTGGTGGCATCGCTATCTACCACACAGAATTGAGGCGGAGGGAATTCGGTCAGACTGTGCAATGCTGGGCTGTATTTGGGCTAGAAGTAATGGAAAGCCCAGGGCGAGCCGAGGGGTATCGCAGACTAGCAACAAGACTATATGTTATTAGTGTACAGTGAAATTAGATGCGTCCAGCATAGTAGACACGATGTGGTATCAACCTTCATCTTTCCTCGGACTCATAATCGTTACAAAGCAACACTCCCATCCACCTCATATGCCAACCCCAAAAATGCCATCGTCAAAAGACAGCATGTGCGAACATGCTTCGTCGCTGCGTGAAATGTCTTCGAATCGTAATAAAGCAATGCCCACTCGACAGCCAGCACCGCACAGAGGTGTGTTTTGTGGTATAGTTTCGTTTTGTGCTCGTGCAGGCGGGCTGAGCGTGGTGGTCTTGTCGTTACTCCTTGTCTCGTGGAAGCCTAGGTCGCAAGGATGCCTCGGGCGCCGCACGATGGGCGATGTCGACCAACACTACAGCAACGCAGCGAGGCCAGCCACGCCAAGCAGCGCCAGGAAGCTGGCAGGGCTGGCAACACCTGCACCATTGGTGGTCGAGCCAGTCGCAGACGCAGTGCTGGAGCCGGCTGCGCCAGTCGTCTTGGTAGCGGAACCACTGCCTCCAGTGCCAGTACCAGACGCCGCACCTGCTGATGTAGAATTGCCGGACTCGAAGAAAATACCACCGGTGGGCGAGGCTGGGGTGCTGGTCACAGCGGAAGACGAGGCCGACGAGCTAGCGGCAGCAGTGCTAGTGCTGGAGGCAGTTGAGCTCGAGACCTTGGTCTCGAAGTGGAGGCCACCCGCGACTGAATACTTGGAGGCGCAAGTTGTCAGATCCGTGCCTTCAGGGCAACACACGGTCTGGCCAGCCGTGTCGGCTGCGCAGTAGTAGCCGGCCTCGCAGGAGTTTCCGCTACCGTCTGGACAACAGGCCTCGTTCGCACCAGAGTCGTAGCAATGCATCTGGTTGTCGGTAGAAGCGCATTGCGCGAATGAGGCGCCACACTATCGGCACGTTAGTTTACATTGAACGAAGAGATTGGTAGTAGAGGGAATCATCGTACGGCCTCGGAGCATGTGGCAGCCAGTCCACAAACCGACTGCTTCGGGTGGTAGACATCGGTATCGCGGCGATCCAGTCCAAAGATCTCGCGGGCAGACAGGAAGGCCTTGGCAGGTCTGTAAGGCAACGGCTCCGCAAAGGCCTGGGAGGCAATTGCAACGACGGCTGCGATCGTGATTTTCTTCATTTTGGGATGGCTGGATTCGTTTTGTTTCGTTTCGTTGGTAAAGGTAGTGCTTTGCTTGTTGCTTGGCTCGAGGGATCTGGGGATCTGGGGATCTCTAAGCTTGTGTGTCGGTGAAGTGAGAGTGAAATGTGGGCACGACAGTTGAAATGAGTGGACAAGCCCCGGTAAGGGACTCAACGCAAGGACGCAGTAGCAGGTATCGCGAGTGAGTATCGATCGACTCGATGGGAGTGCAAAAAGAGCGGAGACAGGGTCGGATGTGAGACGGGTGGGACTGGGGGCCGACAGGGTGGGCGATATACCGAACATATAGGAACTAAGGCCCTAGCACGGCTGGACAGGCAACCTGCGACCAAAGAAGTAGGAGAGCGATCTCCTTAATTTTACTGGCCACTTGGCCAGGCAGACCTTGTCCGGATCGTCACGACCGACCTCCTTCCTGGACTCGGGATTGGACAAAAGAGGCAAGAGCAGCATTTTGTCAAAATTAACAGACCTCAATCTGGCCGCCGACACAAGGCGCTTGACTGAATGTTCCCAAGTGCTCGAGGCCATGCTCGCCTGGTGGACAAAGCAGCCCTGCCCTATGCTACCTGGCGTGTCCCTGCGCCGGGCGGCCCTGCGCCTCTACACTTGGTGACGCCTCGGTTCAAGCCGACGCATTGCGACAAAGCGAACAAGGCCTGTCAGAAAAGGAGCCGGCCGTCTCATTGTCTGACCGGAGCGGCGGTGACGGAAGTGGGCCTCAACACCCACCTGTTGGTCTCTCCGGGCACGGAAACAAGGCGAGGAGGATGCTCGGCAGAGCCAGGGTCGTTGCCCTCCACCCATGGCACCACTGCGCCTTGCCTATTCGCGCCGGCATCGTAAGGATTCGTGCCTGGCTCGGGCCAAGCCGCCAGGCGCGAACCGGACGAAGTGAAATGAAATGAGACGAACACCCACAGACTGGCTGTCTTCGCCCCCATCGGCCAGAACTAGGCCGGTGGGGACGGCGCTTACAGGCGAGCAAATCTCCCCCGAGCGATTCAGACCCGGGAGCGATACCCTGTTGCTCAATCGCGATGGCTGGCCAAGCTGAAATGGAGAGAAGATGTTCAGGAGCGTCATCGTCAATGCAACGGCTGTGGTAGGCGCTGCACGGCGGCTAATGAAGAAAAGGGTGGAAGGAGTCAGCTTCAGATTCAGATTCAGATTCAGATTCAGGAACAGGCAAAGCGCGGGCCCCCAGCGCGGGCGTCGTCCGGGCCCTGCATCACTTGATCAGCTGGCTGCAATCCACTCTCCTGGGTCTGGCTGCCGGGGTGGCATTCAGTTAAGCTATGCCCGTTTGGTGGAGAGCATCCCTTCATTGGCTGGCTCTGCTGGGCTGTGGGGTTTCATCAGCACAGACCAGCTCCTGCCCGATTTGGACCGTGTTTGACAGACCGTCAGTGTTCAGCGGCCCCTGCGTTCCCTGCGCTGGCCCTGTCGAGAGATTCCGAGTTGCAGTCTTGATTGCGACATTCGACATTGCGCCTCTGCGAATCCGGGGAACCTCGCATGTCACGGACCATTTCTTAAATTAAAAATCAACGTCTGTTCGCTCTACTCTGGCGGACGCCCGGAATTGACCATGTGGACAAGACTATTGACTCTCGGATCGCCGCTGCCAGAGAATGCACCGCGCTACGCACTCGGCGGCGCTCATCCATTCCCCAGATACACGATAGTCTCAAGTGGTGAATGAACACTACTTCCACGCTATCGTCCTGAGCATTCACGCTGTGGGTCGTGTCACTAGCTATGGAACTACTGATGGATGACGGTTTGTGACGTTGGAGTGCCGACTCGGATCGAGACTTGTGCGCAGAAACTGAACGGGCCAAAACGTGAAGCAGTTTTGAATTCTTCAAATCAAAAGACAACAAGACCTATCCATGTATCCAGCGCTAAGCTGTCTCCAGCATGTTGACTTCGCCGCCGCGCCCTAAGACATTGAGCATCCAAATGCTATACACATACGCCTCAGGCTGTCCCCAACTCCACCAAGCATACTGTGGACCCTGATCAGTCCCATGCAACCTCTTATGCTTCCAGGTGCTCTGTCCTAAAAGCGACCTTAGTCTCCCCAGTCTCTTGGATGCCGAGACTAGCTTTGCGCGCGTCACGAGCCGAGTCCCCAATCGTCCCATGCTCGTCCACATACCCAATCTTTGACTCGCGGAACCCGTCGAGCTCCCTCTTGTACACAGTATTGAGGAAGATTGGGTAAACGAACGAGACAAAGAACCCGATCAGAGGCACAGCCATTCCGATGTGGTACCCCTTGTGGTCCGCCAGCAAGCCGGTCAGCGAAGGGAACAGGGCGCCTCCGGAAACTGCCGCCACGATCCAGGAGCTGCCCCGTTTGGTGTGTCGTCCAAGACCACGGATTGAGAGCGTGAAGATGGTCGGGAACACGCAAGATTCGAAGAAGAGCACCAAGCTGAGCATGGCCACACCCGTCTCTCCATATATGCCGATCGCCAGCGCAATGAACAGCATGATCGCAGACATGAAGGTCATCAGAACCAGGCGTGGCTTGACGATCATCATCAACCCTGCGGCAGCAAACCGTCCGATAGCAAACAGGCCCTGTCCAATGGCATACCGGTCGCTGGCCTGTGCCGCGGTTAAACCAGCCGACTCCCGGGCATAGTTGATAAAATTAGCCGCGACGCCGACCTGAGCGCCCACATAACAGAACTGAGCAGCTACGCCGAAGAAAAGCTTGTACTGCTTAGCCATCGGCTTGTCTTCGTATCCTGTGAGTCCGGCGGACTGTTCCGCTTGTAGTTCCATGTCTGCGTCTGTGACTTCTGGTATAGGCGAGAAGAAGAAGACAACGGCAAGAAGGAAGACGAAGGCAGCGATGCCGAGGTACGTCCACTGTACTTTCGAAATGTCGTCGGGGTTTGTCTCTTCGAAGAAGACGCGGGAGGCCAACAGAGGAGCCACTGAAGTGTGTTAATACCGTTGACGAAACTTGAAAGGATAGTGCCTCAAAAGTGCCTCGTGAGGGTGAATGTGAAGTCGGAAATGAGAGGGGTTATACGTACTGACGGAGCCAATAGCCTGAAACGACTGTGAAAGTTCGAGACGGAACTCGGAGAGACGAGGTGGTCCACAGGTCGCGATGAAAGGGTTTGCCGAAGTTTCAAGAGTCGAGAGTCCAGAGCCGACGATAAAGAGGGACCCGCAGAAGCCGCCAAAAGACCGGTACACGGCTGAAGGCCAGAACATCAGGGCGCCGACACCGTATATACAGAGTCCAACGATGAATGTCCACCTATAGCCGAACTTCCGCACAATCCATCCGGAGTAAGTCAGGGGTCCGATGAAGTAGGCTCCGAAGTAAGCACCTTGGAGACCCTATCAGGCGACAGTCAGTACCAGAACTGGAAACACCTGAGTGAAAGTCAGGACTTACACCAGCTTTGGCAGCTGTTATGTCCAAGGCTGTTTGGAACTTTGCATTCAGCACGTCCAATCTATCGGAAGGTTAGCCTTGAAGCAAGCAAGCCATGTCCAGAGGAGACTTACAGGCCGTATGCAAAACCCCACAAAAAGAAGAGAATTGTCACGAGTGTGATTGGAAAAATTGACTGCTTGACAGTCAAGGCCGAGGCACCTGTCAGACCCCGATTCGACACCGACTTTCGGTGCGCATTTACTTCCGCATTGGAAGGTCGGCGCTGCTCCAGGATCTCCTGAGGAGTTGGCTCCTCGCGTTTCCCGAACATCTTGATAACTCTGCCACGCTCAGCCGGGACAAGGAATCAGAGCTTGGAGGGCGCGGAGGGCGAAACAGCCAGCTCAGGCCTGGGTGGCTCCTGAGGGAGAAGTGAAGGGTTGTTTGATGTAAATTGTTTCTAGGAAGGGTTGCAGTGCAGATGGATGATGGTCAACCAAGAGTCAAGCTCGAGGGGACTCCCCATCTTCTTATACACTGCTGCGATCGAGGACCCATCATCGCAGGCGTGCACTGTCTCTGACGCGCTTGTCGAGCTGTGCGATGGGATCGTGTCCCAGCTCGGCGATGCCGTGATACCAGACTCCACAGCTGTCGCCTCTCAGTGCCAGTTCTATCCCTCTTGGCAGCGAGGCAAGCCGTCGAGCGGTATCTAGTCTGTGCTCAAAAGGACCTCGATTATCACTAGCGACGTGCCCGGCAGTTTGGATGTGCTCGAGCCATTCCCCGTTGAGGATAGACCGGCCAGCATCACGCAGCCTTCCGGTCACACCTCAACCGGCATAATCTGATCGAGGCCCTCCAGCTGCTGTCTAGCGCGCAATGCAGGTTGGTCGCCTTGCCCGGGTCACACGAACTAACGGCACCTTAGCGTTTTGTGGGGAGAGCTTATGGCATTGCCGACGACCTCGTCCCAGGGTTGAAGACGCTGCTAGCGCTGGGGAGATGCGGAGGGGGAGGCGGGTGGGCTTGGGGTAACGCCGTGCAATTGAGCGATAGATCTGACGGAAACCGTTCCTGGTATTCATCTCACGATACCGGGACAGAAAATAACCTGACAACCACGGGCCCAGGCACTCTCGATGTTCGCAGTGGCGCGGACCAGTACATGAACTTAGTTCTGGCCAAAGTTCCCAGGCTACCTGCCAGGGAGTACATACCTTGCAGTCATCACAGGAGGCATCACTATCTGGAGCATCTCCTAGAGTATTCACTGTCCAGACGTGGCTCAAGTTATATTTCGACAAGCCGCAGCTGAGAAGACTCACCTAGCTGTCATGTTGAGCGGCTGACCAGGTGATCGTAACAAAGCCCAAGGTAAGGCCAAAAGAGCGCAGGTCATACCGAGGGCTAGGAAACATCCGCCATAGACCAGCCTGCTAGTCGGTGGCGATCCTGGGCCCACTATGAGATAGCCTCCCCCCAGCGGTCCAGACCTCTACAGATCCAAGCTTTCGTCCTAAGCTTTCCCCAAGCTTTCAGAGTTCTTGGGAGGCGGTCTTGGGGTCACATGGAGGCAAAGCGGCCAATGAGGTGCGTCCCGAGAGGACGTCACCACTTCCGGACCGAAGCCCACATCCCGCGTTCTATTGAGCCTCTGCCTCCCCTTTCGCCCCCATTCTACAGAAAATGAGCTTCAGACACGGAACGGCTTGGTTTATCTCTCAAGGCTGCAGTAGTCCCCGAAGCCATGGGAGAGTAACACCGAGCCCAGTCTCTGACGACGCCAGGTAGTCTGGTCACAAGATACGTGGGCCAGCCGGAAAAGCAAGGGGTTTCCTCTTTCCTGAGGCATTGGAAATAACTTTTGGGACTTCCAGACGGGGGTTGGAGGGTCGAGCTGTCCTAGTGGACAAGGGAAGCAGAAGTCAGTCCAGCGGGGATCTCACAACATCACCGTTCTGGGCATTATTAACTATGTCTCCCTGAGCTCGAGTACCTCCTTACCATAGCTGCCCAATTCAGACGCTGTTTTCCGGGATGAAAGGGCTTTTCAAAGCTCCGTATATCACGCACACTACCTAGGTCATCTTTTGCACTTGTTCGACTGCACGTTGGCCATCTCTCATATCCACCGAGAGCATTCCATCTGTAAAGGATCAGCAGATTGGAAGATCCAGCAACAATTTCATTGACACGGCCTAGTTCTAGGCAATTCTTCGCTCCTGCAGCCGGGTAACCCCCATGCTCAACGATCTGTGAGTCTGCTATCATACAACATACCAATCCTTTCAGAGAACAGGAATCCGGGTCTCGCTGGGGCTTCTCCGAACACCAGAGCGAGACCGACCCCATATGCATTCTATTCATCATGAATCAGCCCAACAACCCGCGATCGAACGACTTTTAATTTTCATCAGGAGCGTGGGCCCTCCTGGCGAGAAGAGCGGGACAATTTAAACAAAGAACGGCTTCTCGTGATCGTTCCAATGCTGGGCAAGCTCCGGCTACACTGCCACCCCCAGTGCTCGTGCCTCGCCTCTCGTCAGGCGACGTATATCAGACAAGGACTCTAAAGATGGCGAGGCATCAGTTACCGAGCCCTGAGGCCTGGCGGAGATAGTTGGAGTTGGCACGAAATCGCCAGTGTCTGGATCCCTTACACCTTGTAGAATCTGTGAACAAACACCAGTCGTTTTCTTTGGCGGCGATTTTGGAGGGGTGGTAGATGCAGTTGGCGACGGGATGGAGTCTGAATCATTATCTTCGGGTCCATTTTCTTCGGGACCGCATTCCTCGAGGCTGCTCTCTCGGGGGACATTCGACTTTCGGGGCATCTGAAATAGGTTGGAGTGAGTGGGTGAAAGCTTCGAATTGCAATCAAGTTGTAAATGATTGATATAATTTGTAGGCACTGATTCCGGGGACGGGGAGATCAAAACGTTGGCCACCCAGCCCGAATCTCCTGTTGGCAGTCCATATTCCTTGCGAGCTCCTGTCTCACAGGTTCCCGCGTCCTGCCCCATGAATGTTGTAGATGAAGCTTCGGTCCCCGCTATTCCGGAAGACTCCTAATTATCCTCGCCTTCCATCTTAGCAAGCCACTTGTTCATCTGGGAGTACTTCTCCAAAAAGGTCTTCTCAAGTTTTTCACATGCTGCGTACACGTTGTCGGTCGGTTTCCAGTAGGTCTTGCAATTGGTGAAAATTTGGTTCATGTCGGCAAGAAACTCCTCTTCGCTGGTGTACTGGTTTTGTTCCATCTTGTTCTTCATAGTACTGAGGTCCATTGGCTTGGTGACCTTCTCAAAGTAGTCGGGTACGTTGTCAACAATGGCATCAACCGGCTCCTTGAATGGGCCGACTAGACGTGTCCAAAATCCTGCACGAATTAGTATCAACAGAGCTGAGGAATCGTAGATGATCATCGCTGATTGCGAAGGCCGAGCCAGATATTCTCTGACATCGTCTTGCTTTACAACGTGGGAATGTAGCTCATAGCTTACCAGGCCCTGACAACATTCTAGTCAGTAGATCTGAACAGAAGAACAGCTTCTGAGCAGTAGTAAAGTCTTGGTCGCCATTCGCACCAGCGTTGGAGCGACGCCGAGGTACGGGCTTCGTGGCAGGCAGTGAGATCCTCGGCTTACGAACAGCCGCTTTGGGGGCTGTTGGTGCTTGTGGAAAAGGGTCAGAACGGCGGGGCTTCTTGACTGGGTAAAGTGAGTCTGGCTCCTCGTCTTCGTTTTGATCAACATAGTGGACTTGCTTCCGTGGGGGATTTGCAGTCTTTGGATGATGGGAATCACCGCCGAGTTGGACCAGTGGGGACGTGTCTGATGGGACCATGGCCACCACCAGTTCGCTAAGCACGTCTTGGGGCAACGATTTGGCGAATTCAGCCTTGGAGTCGGAGGTGTGCATGTACTCTGCCGCCCAACCAAGGAGCAGCTTCCTGATGGAGCATCCCTCTGGGGTATCTTTCCACACCTGTACCAGGAGCGGAGTGGAAGGAATCCTCGTGGTAGCCCGCCGCACCTCTAACATGGCGTCGAGGGTATGGTCGCAGAGACCGTCTATGCGAAGCTCATGTCCCAGCTTCCAGACTCCGATCAGAATTTCGTAGGATGGCAAGGTGTTCTCATCAGGGATGACCGCGCCAGTGTACAGGAAGTTTTGGACAAAGCCGAACACTTCGACTGGGCAGTTGGGCAGCCGCTCGAGGTACTCAACGTCGTCCCTGGCGGCAAGTTTCTCGCGGAAGTAGGATGACTTTGCGCAGAGAAAGTTCTTCTGCAAGCCGAAAGGAACCTCGTCTTTGCCAACCAGGATCACTACCAGCTCGGGGTGAGGCTCCAACCACGAGAAACTGGTGAGTCCAGGGTGACTGGTGGCCTCGGGTGGGTTCGACGCTGCTGGAGCCGTGGCATTGCCCTGAGTAGCAGATGGAGCAACTGGAGTCTCCGGGGCAGCTTCAGCTCCAGGGGCCAGTGGACGCTCCGCAAGTGGTGCATCCATCATGCGTTCTGCGCGCGGGTGATGGTTTGGGAGATGATAATCAGTGCACTGCTTGTGTTGATATTTAGCAACCGTTCCTGCCGAACACGGTGGAGTGATGAGTCCTATCGACCGAGATGCGCAACAACGAAGTTCGCTGAAAAGCATTTGCATGCATACAAACAGCATTTGTATTTGCTTATGAGGTATCGCAACTCGAGGCCGAGTGAGAGTTTGGAAGTGGATGAGGGAGGGAAGGAGGGAGGGAGGGACTTACCGGTTGTGGCTTCCGAACCGGCTATGATGAGAATGTGCACGCAGAATGAGATATCCGATGGTCGACGGCAGTGTTTGATGAGACTGTATGACTGGGTTGTCAAAGTCTTGACCCAGGAGGTAAGGTTTGAGGATTTTAAAGCTGTCAGGTGCGTTGGTTTTGATGATGAGACCAGTGTGTGTGTGCTCATTTCAGGTGAATCTTGGTGTGCCAGGTTGGGTGAAGTGAGAGGTGAGATGACTAAATTGCAGTCACTGTTGAGCGTATGGTGCGGGTGCATGGGCCGCCCCGCCCCGCCTGCCCGTTCAAGCCAGCCAGGCAATCGGGCAGGTGACATCCCTAGCGACTTGAAGTGTGGCCATCACTACCTTCCTTTCAATTCAAATTCCTTATATGTTGCTTTCAATTTTCTTGTGATATCCCATCTACCTAAATTCTTTGGAAAGTCATCACAGGAACTGAATCATTTTTATTCTCATGCCCAATTGACTTCATGACCGTGAAATATCTGAGAGCCACTCCATTCCGGCTCACGGCTGTGGGCCTACGAAGTGTGGCAGGAGTACAACAGGATAGATACTCTTGAGATCGATGTCCAATACGGTCATCCCAAATGAGATATCAACGATGAGCCAAATAAGGCTCTCAGCACAGCTTACTATAATTCCTCTAGGGAACCAGGTTACAGGCATGCAAATTCCAGCTTCGGCGGTCATGCACAAAGTATGCTGGTTTAAGGAAGAGTACAAAATGCTTCATCAGAACTAAAATTTACCAAAATTTGGAGCAAGGTGTTCAAACGAGACCAAATGTATTCAACCTCAAGAAATTTGCCAGGGTTCATTCAGTTTTTAAGTCGGGAGGGATATCAGTGTACTGATAAAGACTGCTGCCAGCTTTTCAAAGCTCTTGAAGTAGAGTCCCTCCTCCGCCTTGCACACACAAACATGGGTTTTTATACCGTGGACAGTTTTACTTCCCAGGCAGGCAAAATGCAAGCACTTCTCACGAATCAACTCACTATAACTCACTGTTCATACAACAAGACTCTACCAGGGGCTTTCGTGAAGTCCTGGCCGTGACCCAGCTCTTCAGCTCTTAGGATTGCAAGAGAGCATCATAGATGCAATCGTCGAACACACCATATGCCATGCACTTGCAGCGAGCACACGGCAGGAGGCAAAAGAATTGCCACCATCTGGAAAACCAGCTCAAACGGCGGATATCCGGAAGACTATGGCTTGAAAAGGGGAGCCATTGATATTGTGATAGTGCTTGGGCTCTGGACCACACAGAACGCCGACGGAAGCAGGCAATCACATGACAACCCTCATATATCGGAATGCTGAGTGAACGAATAATTCTGGGGCGACATCTTTAACAACATCTTGGACTCATGAAAACCTGGATCCTGCATCACGGTCTTGATCAGACCTTGCATCGATTAATAATATTACCAGCATGGGCACCTGGGGAGCATGCATGTGTCAACAGCTATTCCCTCCCAGAGGCAATGATGGTGCGCAAGCACGACAACAGAGTCAAGTTATGCCCCAAACGAGCAAAATGAAATCTGGGAAAACGGAAAACTAACAAAGCCGTGGAAAGTCACCATAAGACGCGGTCGCAGACCTATCACGAGGATGGTGTAAGGCATAACGACGGTTGAAGAAATCCAGTCTAGCAGCCCTCCCCGGTGTGATGATAGAAGCACTCAATGAACGACTTCTTCGATATGAAATTACTCAACCAAAACCTGCGTTCAGGACATCAGGACTGATACAATCCGTGCACAGGCTGAGGTAGTCAGACAGTCTTGCCTATCCGTTCCGCCTCCTTGGTACAGTCAATCGTCATCCTTTACCCCGACACCGATCAGTATGAATTCCTCATCCGAGTCGCCAGCCGAAAGATCCTTGGCTCCATCTTTCATTCGGTGCTCGGGATCTCTTGTGCGAGCGTGGGTGCCTCGCTGCCTGGCTTCCAATCGTCCGTGAGGTTTCGGTCCCAAAACTCAAAGATAACCGTGACATCCCCCTAGGTATAAGCTACTCGAGACATAATTGCGCTACCAGCCCAGGTCGGGCAGTAAAGTGCAACTTGAGAGTAGGTAGTCAGGCGTATGGCTGATATCTGTGATCACTATCGCCTGGGAACAACTCATCGGACCCAACCCGACAGGGCAGACGTTCTCGCCTCGACAATGCTAGGGCACTGCCTACGCGTTGCATGAGTATGTAGCGCGGCCATGTCGTGTCGCCTTCGGCAGGCTGCCGTCGAAGGCCGTGCTTCCCAAATGCATCTCAGCCCCCTTCCTGCTCGGTATCGTGGCGTCGAGGAAAATAATGCCGATACTCTTCCACAGGCAAAAGTCCAACGGCCCGAGTTCCCAACTCGGAACCACGCAGGTTTATGGAGATCCCCGTCTTACACAAAGGATCGCCTAGACGTCGTGCGACGTCGGTGGGGGAGTTCGTGGGCGCGTCCTATGCGGTCAGAACCTCCGCCAGGGAGTCCCTTCACTCGAAGAGCCAACCAGAATGCTCGTGCTTCGTAGCGAGGCAGGTAATGGCTTACGCATGGCGTAAGGAAAGCGAGGACGAATGTGAGGCGACCAGCGTATCAACAACACACGGCCCGATCTTCGTCTCCAGTTGGGTTCTCACGCCGTGAAACCCAATCCTCGGTACGCGTTCGCCAATACCCGTTCAAGTCCATTGCTCCCCTCAGGGGGTACGACTGTGCTTAATCTTGGGAGAAAAACTTGCTTTCCAGGCGGGCCTTGGGACAGATCAATCCATGGCGAAAATACACCAACATCTGACAACAAGCTGGTTAAAATGTTGGACCATACCGTTGAAGCCCTCCGAAAACAGATCTTCTACAAGCATGTGAGCGAGGGACCAGTGGTGACGTGAAAGATCTTGATCCAGTCGCACAGCATGGCAGGATGCAAGTAACTTACGAATGCACTTACAGCTCGACCCAGGTCGTTTGATCCCCGCCAGCGATCGGGCCATGAGTTCATGTAGGTCATGACGGATACAGCGGCCTCAATATACAACCTCCGCTGCCAAGAGACCCTGATGCGACGCCTCGTGGTTGGATCCCGCGCCGTGGCTGGACCAGCCAAGGATATAGGTCTGTCGAGCCTCGGAGCGAAGCCCTATCGAGCCCTTGATGCCCTCGAGATGCTGCCGGACAGGTCGCATTTGCGGCGCTGGGGCGCATCTCTACCCGGAGTCTAGGCCCACGGCCCAGCCTGTCCCATCACGACCGTGGCCTGACCGCGGGCTGTCATATCTCGAGATCGATCGGGTGACATTCGCTCGCGTACTCTCAAGAGGCGCTCGTCCTTGCGGGGCACACCTGGTCGCTCTAGATAGCCGACCCTCCCTCAAACAACCGCTATCGTGCATTCTGGCTTGCTGTTTTAGCCAGGGAGGTGCAGGAGGCTCGCTAACGTTCCGAGATGGGGAGGGGGGAGCGGACGCGGGTTACATCGAGGGCGGCAGAGCGGGCGACAGAGGCATGCGCGCCTCTCAAAAGAACCGATTGGCCAGAGACATCACGGCTTGGAAGCACCATCTACTCAGGTAGAGTGCGATCACCACGGAGTGGTTGAGGACGATCATACATCTCGAACTAGGCCTAGGGCATGGTTCGTGAGCCGCAGCCCTAGTGCCTCTAGTGTGCCGGGTAAAGTGAAGACGTCGGATGACCGGGACGAAGGTGTCTTCGCAGCAAGGGTCCGCTGAGAGCCTCAATGGCGTTTAGTTCGGTGGCAGGGGGGCGTTAGTTCCCACAAGCCTCAAGCATGCAAAACGGGGTTGCTGCTCCAGTATACGCGCAGCAATGATCTCCGGGGTCCTTGTGGGGACTCTCCATCTTGATCTGTTTAACAACCCAAATGCGGTATGTAACAGCGGTAGCCTTATCGGGGCCGTCGCCACGCAGTGGAATAGCGCGACTGAGGACCCTCCCGCCGGCGAGACCGCAATTCTCCATCAATCAAAGCAGCGCATTCGTGGGCTCGTCGGTTGCTGCCGAAGATATCGTGCCATGGCTCCCGGCGGGTCAAGGAGACGGGGGTTTTCGCTACTTCAGGGCCGAGCTCTCACGAGGATCCGAAAAACCAGAGGAACCTTTGGGGGTTGGGCCTTTGGTCTGGCTCAGCAAGACCTCTCCCAAGACAGAGACTACCAGGATGATGATCCAGACCAAGGCGACACGGGACTACCGCGGCGCTTGTTGGACGGCCGTCAAGAATTGCAACTTCCAGGCGTATGCTGATGATCGTCTTCTAAATACACGCCCTCTTCAGGAGCCAGGCTTGTCCGAGCTAGCGGGCCGTGGAGGGTGTCGTCCCAAGCTGCCCGTGAGATGACAGCTCTCAATAATCAACGTCAAACAAATTGAACCGTTGATAAGGCGGTGCAACCCCCCACGCAATTCATATCGGGGCCGTTCTGCCCTGCAAGCCAATCTACCCACCCAGAGCCACGATTGGACGGTGCCGCCCCCGCGGCGGCTGTGACAAGTGACCCGTAGTGGTGGCGGTGGTGTGTTGGTGACCGCGGCGGCTGATTCAACTTGCCGCGCATAATGAAGGTGTGCTCGTTCCGCGGCCTGGGCCCGCGCCAATACCGCCGAAGGAGCAGGGAGATGATGATGACACTGCTATTATCTGGCGTGAAGCGGAGATTTGGTCCTTGGTGCTCATCCGGTGCCAATACTGGGGTTGAATGCAGGGGGAAAGAAGTCCCAGCCAGCCGGCGAAGGCGCCGTTTGGTCGACGCAAGATCTCCGACAACAGTCTGCCGTGCCTCTGTCTGCCCATTGACCCCATTCCAAATCCCTGGGGACGATCAGGTGGAGGGAGGGAATCCGGGAACGCAGAATGTTGACTCCAGCACAGTGACTAGGGCTGACGCCATAGACCCGCCCCCCAAGAAACATTCCATGGCGATGGCCTGGCCAGGCCTTGTCCGGGTTTGGTCCGGGCCTTGAAGCCGGGCTCGACGATGGACCGTCCCTGGAGACAGGCGTGTCTGGTTCCCTGGCAGCCCTGGCCCGACTGCTGCACGCCCAGTGCCAGGTTCGGTGAGGATGGCCTGCTCCGTCGTGCCACTGGGCCATCGTATTGCGTGCCCATCCTTCACCGGGCCCCCAATCCAGCAGGGTATGCAGGATCGAATCCAGAGAAAAAAAAATCTCCGTTTGGGAAGGAGGATCGGTGCATCTGCAGCCCGTGTTCGGCCGAAGCTGCAGGTTCCAGGAGAGAGGGAGAGGATGAGCCCCCTCTTGGACTGTGGGGTAAGCATGTGTTCTGGATGAGGACGCGCTGGTTCGATGCTTCTTGTTGAGCTTCCGGAAGGGGGCCAAGACACGGCTGGAGAAGATTAGGTTGACGCCAGAACAGGCGGCCGGGACATGACGCCCTTACCCCGTGGGGCCGTGGGGAAATGGATGGGTTGGGGGCTGGGGGTTAGCGCCTTGGAACTTGCTCGATGGGTGGGTGGATGGGCTGCCGACGAAAAGTTTCCAGGGCAATCCCCATTTCCCACAGCACCACAGCTTGAACCAAGGAAGGCACTCCGGCTCCGACGTGCAGAGGGTGGGTGTGATCAGTGATCATTCGATACAGTGTCGCCTACTGCATGCATCACTGGTGGGTGCTGGGCGCTGGGCGCTGGACGCCTGATGCTGGATGCTGGCAACCTGACATCATGCCTGATTCAGCCGTGACCCGTCGCCCGTCGAACAAGTACCTTATCGTACCGTCAGAACTTTGTAGCCCGGTGTCGTCGAGCTACAGTGCTAGTAGACGTCGTTGGCCTCATCGACCTCCACGCCATCGATCGGGGTCCATCACTGACGAGTCACCTGTTGCAGTCAGCCTCTGGCCGGGTCGGGACCAGAATGCCACGATGTCCAGCCCGCTCAGCTCCACCCCCACGCAGGTGTGACACCCAGAAACATGAAGCTTGCGCGTGTCCTACCTCCCGGGGGCTCTCGCATGCCCTGCCTCCGCCCTGGCAGGCACCCAAGCCCTCCAAACACAGCACAAGCTACAACCCTCCCACCCCTCCCTCCGTCCCTCCCTCCGTCGCGGGACCATCTCCCGCACTTTGTCCGCAGCGCTGAGCGTTGGGGGGAGCTGGGGAGGAGGGCCGGAGTCAGTGCCAACCTGGGCCTGCTGCGACCCTGCCCTTCACGCGGTTTCAACCCTCCAGGGCTGCGTTTGAAGTGCGGAGGGCGCGCCCAGTACTTGCCGTCTCAGCTCGATCGGGATACTCGACGGCAACCTCTCGAGTCGTCACGTCACAGCCAGACGCACAATGCAGCACTGATATCAGCAACGTTCGAGGGTGGGCTCGGATCGTGATGGACCACGGTAGACCCGGCCTGACTACCTGCCAACCCTGCCAAGGCAAGAAAGGCTGCTCTTCCACGTAATAGCAAGGCCGTACACTGTATGACGAACCAGCGAGGAAGGAGACTGGTCACTTTATGGTTGTCATGATCATGCATCCCCCGGGGAGGGCAAAGCAGAGCGCGAGAGAAGAAAAATCTTTCAAATGTGTTGAAACGCGGCGCCGGTGAATCAGATCAGACCTCTCGGCCATCGAACGCCATGGCGCTGTCAACCCCACGACAACCGGTCACCCGCGGCCTGGATGATCCCGGCATGGGCGGTGCTCCCCCAGCCGCTGCACGGGGGGCGTATCGCATCGCTCCACGACCACTCATTGCCGACAGTGCCACACCAGCCCTGTGCTGGCCACAGCAGGGCCAGAGACTATACGATGCCGCCCCGGGGCGAACCTGTACCTGTGACAGCTGGCGGCCTGAAGCCCCAAGTTGCGGTGTGAGAGGGACGAAGAAAGAAAATCTCTTTCTCCCTTGGGGTTCGGTAAAGTCGAACCTTTCGTCCGCGCACCGGCGAGTCGTCCAACGGCGCCGGCTCTCAGCTAGTCCTGCCTAAAGACGCAGCAGCGCCTGATGAAGCGAAGCCTCGCAACAACAACCGCTGGCGATGCTGCCCAAACACGAGAAGCTGTGACAAGAGTCAAGCAGGCTGGCCTCTCATAGCCCCCAAACACCTTCCCCCACGGCTGTTGCGGTATTGCGCGGCATCAAGGGGGCCCAGAACGGCATGAATGGTTGCCTCTTGGACCTGTTTGGACAGAAGCTGTCTTGGCGCGCACGCAGATTGGCCGGTGTCGACATTCTTCTCATTAGCAAGGCACACAGTAAAATTTTTTTTTTTTTGGTTCTTTCTTTTTATTCCTCTTAGGGGGCGGTCAAAGTATACCCCAAGAGACCGTGGCAGTGTCAGAAGCGTCCGTCGGATTCCCGTAAGCTGCAGCTGAAAGTGACATGAACAAGCCAGCCAAGCACAGGTCGCCTCTACCCCCCGGTAAATGCGGTGCGGTAGCTTTCCTCCCCGCAAAAAAGGGAACCCCTGGCTCGCCCTGCATAGGTACCGGCGATCAGGGAAGAAAATCTCTAAACAGCGCAAGAGGTTCGGGATCGACAATCTGACAAGAGCCTCGCCCCGGCTCCGGTGGGGGTTGAGGTCCTGTCCTTCCTCGAGCTGAGCCTGCGTTGGTAGACCCCCCCCCTTCAACCCCCCAAACAGCACCCCCTCAACCCCCCCGAGCAATCGTAAGTACGTGGCGTGATGATGAATCGCCTAGGACGGTACCATCTCAACTTCCCAACACAGGGCAGCGCCCCCCTTCCCCACAGAGTGACACGGTGTAACTTTCCTGTTCCTGATCAGCTCATCTCACCCATTTTTACCTGCTGCGGAGCCCCAGCTTCTTTTCTTTGTCACCCCTTCCCCCTTCTCCACGCCCCGACCACGGTACTATAGAGCTCGAGAGGCCAAGAGTACGGCCTGATACGGCCTGACACGGCGATAGGCACCCCAACCCGTCCTCAAGTATTATACGTGTATCTATGTCCCAGGTAACCCTCGGAGAGACTCAAGCGTTTCTTACAAATCACCTTCGGTGTTTGAATGCAGGCCCCGAATCGCCCTCGTGATGATGTGGTCTTGCCCAACCCCCCTATACGTGCTATACCTGATGCTGCGTGTCTCACTCTCCGCGCTCATTCTTCCGCGTACGCGAAATCGGAGGAGGTTTCGCTGGGGAAGGGCCGGGGAGGGGGGGCCCAAAGATAAAAGGCTGTGCCGGATCCTCATCCCACTCTCTTGGGAGTGCACGTGGGCCCCTCTTTGGGTTGATGAGGGAAGGGTGTGGCCACCGGTACGTCACAATGGGTGCTTCGAGCCTCCGAGGCGATTCGCACTGAGTCATGTCACGACAGCTTTCCTGCTGGGCTATCAGCTTCAGAGGGGGGTTGGTCCGCGGGCGCACGATGGAAAAATCCTCAGACGGGCGGGAAAGCGTTATCGCGGGTAGTTTTTCACGCGGACAGGCAGGGCAAGCAAGGCAGTGACTTGGTTTGAATGGATCTGAGATTGTTTCCGGCTTTTTTGCCATCCTGAACCAGGCTCCCCCCATCGAGGACCTGAAGTCGTCCTCCCGTCCGTTCCCGCACGTAACTCCCCGGGCTTTCCTGTATCATGTATCTATCTGAGATCTGAGTGAAGCAACGACAGGCCTAATCTAAAAGGGAAACGAAAAATGAAAAAAGTCAAAGCACGTATCATCGGCTGCCTAGCACATATTGGCCGACGCCACCCCATCCGTGTTTCGATCCAACCAAAAGTCAGAGAGAAACGAAGCTGTCTATCCACCGGGGAAACGGGTTCTCTATGCGGTTGATTATGGTCAATGTTGTAATGGATAGTCGTCCCGAACGCCTCGCAAGTTTATCCATCTATAGTATTCCTGTTCATCATTCGTACATCGCCTGGTGCTGGTCATCATCCACTTCACCTCAACCTAGGAGCGATCCATGAGATCTCCACCAGCGATGCTGTTGGATGAGGAGCTCCGCCCGCTGGTGTTGAAACCTTCGGGAGCCAACAGATCGTGCACCGCCACCTTGGGGACCTGGGGAACTGGGAGCTTCCGTTGGTTTCCGTCTGGTCTGCTCATAATGTCCGACAAGGACATACCAGTTCTCACGCCGGGGGCTGCACCGCTCGCAGGTGGGGGGTTGGGGAACTGCTGCTCCGGCTGGGGCTCCAGGGGAGCAAGCGCGGCGTGTGGTGTCCTAGTGAGAGCTGTCGGAAAGGCGGGAGCTCGTAAGTAGCCTGGTAGGAAGGACGCAGGCGTGGAGAGTGAGCTGGTGTGGCGAGCGGCGTGTGGTCCGGAGTGGGGGACAAGGAGTCGTGCGAGAACGTTGGTGACGAAGGAGCAGTAGAGTTGGGGGAGTTGGGCCTTGACCTCTTGGCGTGCCTGTACGCATGCGAATAATGGTCGTCGTGGTGCTCCTCCTGTGAGTTTGATCTTGACATGTGGTAGGCTGAGAGCGAGGGCAGATTGCCGCGGGAGCCGTGAGAGCTGTGAGAGTAGTAGGGGTGGAACCTCGAAGAGTGGTGGCTTGCTGAGGGAGCCATCAGGTTGTCACGCTCGACCTGGTGAGCAGCCTTTGCGAGCATCGTAATGTCCATCGGTCCGCCGCCATGGGGGCTGCCAGCGGGGGCCCTTCCGAATGGAGCAACAGTGTTGTGCGGCAGGACGAACTGGGAGTACGAGTGAGGCGGGGACACATTTGGCGAGGACAGGGAGGAAGGAGGAGCCGAACGGATGTTCTTTGGAGCCGGGGGCGGCATCAGGTCGCCGGGCTGCAGGCCACCCATCATCTGGTGCGGCTGCTGGCCCTTGTTGCCCCGTCTCGAGTTCGGGTTGCTGTGTATCCTCGAGTGCCGAGTCAACTCGTCAGATCTGGAAAACTTCTTGCTGCAGCCCGGGAAGTTGCAAGCATGCGGCTTCTCGCCCGTGTGCGTCCTGATGTGTCTTGTCTGGTGCTCCAGACGGTGGAAGGCCTTGTCGCAGAGCGGGCACTTGTAGGGCCGCGGGAGCTCGTTGCTCACCTCGGCGGGCTGGCCGGTGGGCAGGGGCCCGTTTGGGCGGAGCACAGAGACGGACGCCATATCTGCTGGATCGTTGTGCTGCTGGGTGGGAGACTGCGACTGGCTGGTGCTGCCGCTGTTGGTGCCGCTGTTGGATTCTTGGTGTTCCGGAGCGGCGGGCGCCGAGGAAGCAGGGTTCAGCAGATTTGCGAAATCTACTGCGGACTGTGACCGTTGCATGTGATCGCCCTTTCTGGATTGACCAGGCCCAACACGCCAACCGAATAAATAGTCCTTGGTGACTGGACGTCTCGCTTTGTCGAACCTGCTGCACTTGTGGCGGCAGTCGGTTGATGTGACAGTGGTGGTGGGTACTGGTCGTCGACGACGGGGGTGGTGGGGGTGGTGGTGGTGGTGGTTGTGGTGACGACGATGTTGCCGTGCAGGCTGAGCCCAGTCCGGGAGGTCGAGGACGGGGTTGTTGTGAACTGGCAAGACTCGCAGGAGAGAGGATGGGGAAAGCCTGGGACCTGGTTGGGGCAGGTGTACTTAAGGTGTTTTGGTGTTGTGGGAGGATTTGGACGGGTTGGGGCAGATCGGATCTCTGGCTCTCTGGGGAAAAGGGGTTTTAGGGAGAAAAAAGAGGCAGCGGAGGCCTTGGGGGGTGGGAGGATGGGAGCCGAGATCTTTTTAAAAACGATCCATGGATGGCGCCTTTTTTCCCACCGTCAGGCCTGGCGGGTCGCCCAAAGTCTCAGCACGTAATGGACGGGTACAGTGCAGTGTGCAGCGCAACGCAGCCCAGCCCAGCCCAGCCCGCAGGACCCGATGTACCGATGTACCTTTCCCGCCGAGCTTTGCTCTGCCCGGTGGCCCCTGTGGCCCCAGTGGCCCCAGTGGGCTGCCCACACCCCAGTCTTGGGGGGGGCACCCCTGACACACCTCCTGGGAGGGTCAGGGAGGGAGGCTTCCAATGTGTGGAGAGCGCTGAGGTTGCGACCGGGGGAGGGACGCAGAGGCAGGGCGGCATCTCAGCACCTGGCTTGCGACTGCTGCAGGCCATCGCGGGGGTACGCCTAACAAATGCCCAGACAGGGAGCCCCGGGATCCAAGCCTTCACGGTTGCTGGATACCGGGGTACTTTGGTACTTCCACTCCTGCCATACACAGTAGTACCTCCTTCCTCCATGCGTCCCTTGCCCACCCCGTACTCGACTCTGCAGCACATTACCTGCCAGTCTGTCTGTCAACCCTCCCGTCTTCCATCTCAGGGGAGAAAGATTGACCCCCAAGCCTCTCAGACTGTCACTCAGTAAGCCAACATCAATGCCGTGCCAACACCGCCGGCGGTCAACAGCACGCAGGCAGAGACAGTTGCAAAAGGAAGCGGCCTTCCTGCAGGCTCTCACATAATCATAACACAATATACTCCGCCTCGGCGCATTTTGCTTCACCCTGGCAGTACTGTAACCCGCACGCACGGTACCCTTCATGCAACGGACCGGCAAGCAAAGGCAGCCAAGCAGCACCTCCTACCACGTTCTCCTGCGGTGCTGAGCGTACAGTACTGATATCACTCTCCGGTACTGTCATCTTGTACAGGGACAGCGACAGCAACCAAGTACATGGCGCATCGATGCCATTCGATCGGCTCAGAATCACCCCAGAGTCGTGACAGACAGACAATCTGGGGTCCCCGCCCGGCTCCAACGGCCTTGCTCCATGTCCGCCGCAATGCCCACGCCCATGGAGACCGTCAGTCATGGCCCTCTTCCGCTAGCGGGGCGCTTATCTTGCCAGTCCCTTCGGCGTAATGCAGTACGGGGCTTGGTGAATTCATCTGCTCAGCCAGAGGGCCATCCTCCTGTACAATGGGGGCTGCTCCGCTCCCCTCAGGCTCTTTTTGACAGTACTCACTGGGGAGCCTCTAGATTCTGGAGTCCCACAGACCACAGTGCCTGCTGCGTCCAGCTCTCTCTCACCCCAAGGCCTCAAGTCATGCCGGATAAGCGTGTGCTGTGGGGAGATTACAATTCCAAGCCACACAGGCGAGCAACAACACCATTGGCGCGAGCTTGACGAGGAACGCCAATGATACCAGATAACAACTTGCTCACCCTCTCACCCTCTTCGGCTGTTGATCAGGGGCCGGTATGATGGTCCTACTGGACGGCTGGATCATTGGACACAGGCGCCCTCGCGATGGCATCAACATTAATGCAGTCCCAAGACTGAAGTTTATTCTCCTCTGGCGGCTGAGACTCGCCGGATCTGGCATGGCAACTTGTGGCGCATTTCACCCGGGCTGCGTACCGCGAAAGAGACCGCCGGAGTTGCGAGACCCTGGAAAATTCCAAGGACCACGACAAGCAATGCCCGGAGCAGCCCCTGGTCCACCGTCCGCCGTGTTTACCCACGATGCTACTGATTGTAGGCTTGAGCATAATCATTTGCCGTCGGCTCGGCGCAACGAGAGCAACAACACAGGCCAGACTAACCTACTACCCGCGGCTATTGGGCACACTCGGGATTTTGCACCACAAATGATCAGATCAAACAATTCGGGTAGCTGAAGGGTTTGCGGAGAGTGGCCCGTGGGGGCTCCAGAGACCGGGGAATGGGGTAAACGAGGGGGGGGGGGTGTTGGTCGACCGACTTCCCCAGACTGGTGACGCACTCTCTTGGCTCTGTTGCTGGCAGCATTACATTGCGTGCTTTGCGCTTCTCTGGCACTTCATGCTTCCCAGCCAAGGATTTCCTGTTCGTCTTTTGAAGACCAAGACAAGATGTCCTTCGCTCTCGGCCTTCGGTAACAAGTTACCCCAGCCGCTTGTCACTGTGTTATCGGGGCTGCGCAGGAACCGCCATCAAAAGCCTAGGCCGCCATAGCTGCGCCCGATAGGAAGGCATCCTGGGGAAACGTGGGGAGAGCTACTTCGATCCGGGAAATCCTCGTGGGGGGCGTGCGCCTAGAAGAGATAAGGAATCTGTCCGAGTGCGCTTTCCATGGCCGAGAAGCTGAAGAGGCTATGGCCCAACCTCGCTCAAATTTCGGACCCGGCTTGATGGCCTGAAGCTTGCTGAAATTCCAATGATGACAACATCGACCATGGCCAAAAATTTGCGTGTCTGCATTTTCAAAGGCATAGCTGGACACAAAGCTCAAAGCCCCACTTAACAGCCATGTCTCAAGGTGGCATGCTCGACTACACTTCTCGTCCCATGCGGGACGAGTCCAGCCTGCCAGCCTGCCAGCCTGCCAGCCTGCCAGAACGAGGCAAACTCGCGACAAAGCTCTGTCGCCATTGCGAACCGTCGGCGCATTTAGTGGGCGATCTTTCCCACCTGTTGGCAATTTAGTCGCGACGGCGTCATACCGTGAGGTGCAGTTCATGACTAGATTACGGGTAAACTGTCCGAGTATTTGCAATATGCTTTCAGAACACAGCGGTCAGGCTGCATTCCTTGCAGACTGTGGCATGTCTCGTTATTCACGAGGCTTCTCAACATGACAGAACCACTGGGCGCCTCAACTTGCCGATAAGAAAGAGTGACGAGACATGAGTCTAGAATTTTTCTACATCTTTGGCATCCTTTAGCGCCGGGCCCGGCTTATCCGCAGTGTATTTGTGAATTGCCTCGGCTGCACACGCACCAAGCAGGAGATCGGGTCAGTCAGTGGAAGGTTCGGCCTCAGTGTTACCAAAGTGAAGACTGCCGCTTTATTAGGGAGACAAAAATCATCAGAAGCGGTTGGCCTCGTACTCGCCACCTGGTTCCATGCGATGGCACATGTCAGCGTCTCCCCATGCCGTTGGCCGTTGGCCGATGGACATGCAGGGCGTGCAACCCCAAAGCTTATCACAGGAACGCGAGTCTGGTCCGCAGTACATGACGTCGACAGAAATCACGCCAGTGGCCAGTATCTGTATAGTGTTCAAGGGCTCAAGCAGCCAAAAGGTAGTTTCATGCGGGTGAGGAATGCTGGCTCAAACGCCAGCACTTGCTGCTGACATGTGACGACGACGCGGAAGCTCGACGCCCAAAAACGAAAAAACGCTCCCCCCCCCCTTCGAATCTTCCCCACGAGCTTGCACCTTTCGGCTGCGGGGAGCTGATCTAGGGCTGCCAAGCTGCAGGCGCTGGCCCTTTTGAAACCGCACCCCCGATCCAGCCAGCGCAGCCAGTCCAGTCAGCGAGGGACGGACTGCCTGAACAGGAAGGCCGACCCAGGCGCACCTCAACCCTCTGTCTACGAATAGCAACAGCTACCCAAACCCTCAGCCTTGCCCGCCAAGTGCCGCCTTGGCATCGCAATGATGATCCCATCAGAGTAATGATTGCATTGTTTGATGACACGTCTGGACAACGAGTCAGTCGAGACAAGTGGTCTGGACCACATCCGAGCGTCGCGAGATTCCTGCAGTGGCTGCACGCCTCCCGGACTTGCAGGTCTCTGAGGTCTCTGAGGTCTCTTAAGTCTCTGGGGTTCAAGCTACGTCAACCGTCGGCCTCTCTCGTGCCCCAGCTTGGCAGGGACGTCAAAAATCTGCTCGACGACTCCGTATTTCTCGGGGAATTTCTGCAAAGAGACGCTGGACCTGCTGCAGCCATGATCTGGCAGCTGCCTCATCGACCAGCCTTCCATGCCGACGGGCAGACGGGCGTCGTCCGACGATGGGAGCCCCTGTGGTGATCCTCCGTGGGCCGGTACGCAGTGCAGAAGATGCTGCTGTCAATCGCGAGGTCTCGACCGAGATCCTGCTGGGCCTGCCAGCCTGGCAGAGCCTGGCAGAGAAGGACCGTATATTTCCCCGGCTGCAAACAAGCAGTGAATTATTAACCGGGGCTCCACCTTCCTGGGGCCCTTGGACTGGGGCCCAGGTCGGAGTACTGACATGCCGTTGCTAGAGCATAGCATCAAAGCACATGGAGCTCTTTTTTGTCACTCTTATCCCCAGTTTTCGCCCCACCAAGCTCGCGATGCGAGTCTGCCCGAGAGCCTTTGGGGGCCAAATCTACGCAGGACGATGCGCCCTCCTCGGCCCTACCCAGGACGATTGCCTCTGTGCAATCTCGCCTACGCAAGCATTTCAATACTGGCCTCGCACGAGCTCCAGACTTGGGGGAAATCTCAATCACATGTTAGCACCGACTTTTCCCCCCTAGGCCAGGCAGTTCACCAAGTCGGGACAGCTCCGGCCCTTTCAAAAGCGCAGCTGGCTGCAGGCCTCCATTGGCCCGAATGGGCCGAATTCAAGAATGGAACGTCAGCATCTATCGTCCCGCACCCTGGCGAATGAATAGCCATTTCGGCGCATGTATCTCCGTACACACACATCCTCTAGTCCGCCCGGATGCTGTCCCTTGCAGCAAGTCTTCAAACATGTTCCTGGCCAGCCTGGCCAAGCCATCCAGATCTGGGGGCGTTGCTCGAGGTCGACTTCCAAATCGAGTAGACTGAGTCTGAAAGAAAATTCGATATGGCATCTCTGAGCCTTGGCCTATTCCCAACCGGTTCCACCCGCGCTCATTCACTGATTCGGAACTTGGGCGAAACGAGCCGCAAGTTTTGACCTACCAGCTAGGGGTTTCGGTCGGATGTCCCGTTGCCTCCAGGGAAGCCTTCAGGGCTGATCGTGTCATTTCTGTTGCATGGAGGAGCCAACAGCCGCACAACTCAATCAGAGGCAAACCATGGTGTCCCTCAGCAAGGTCGCATATCTGCTGTGTCCTTAATAAACCTCCAGGATTGCTTGGGCTGACTTGTCAGCTTCGTCAGCAGCGTGCCGAGGGAACCGTTCGTGATTTGTTGCTCGCTTCTCAACAACGGACAACAAACCTGCCCTTGCCCTGGGCGCCAGGGCAACCCCCAAGGGGTAGCAGTGAGCGCCCGCAACCCGCACCCTTCCCTGACACTGTGGCTTCGGATTCCTTCCGACAGTCCATGAGGTGTTCGGCGGGAAATGCTTCCCCAAGTCCGACCTGAGGGCGACAACACGCCAAGCGGCCGTATCCTTATCACCGCTCAGCCTCTGGCCAAGTCACACTTCGGTGTCCAGATAGTAGACTCTGACGATAGATTGTCCTCTGCTCGGCATATCCGTTAGTTGTTATTGGCGCCGTCGATGGTACCGACCGCAGCAGAGGTACCGACCGCAGCAGAATGAAAAGGCAACGCCGGGGCGCAATCACAGGCCGTACCCCGAATATTTTACCCCATGTCGGTACGGTCCCTCTGATTGGGATCTCTATCCCTGGAATGACAACATGTTGTGTCCTCCTACTGTCGGCCGCGATTCCGCTAGATTCTTCCACCTTCCTTCCCCTTTGGGCCGGAGTTTCCCTTATCTGGGCGGAAGTGCACACTGCTCTAGGGAAAGGCCCGGGATCAGACTGTACTATGTACGGGGCACACACAGGTCTCGAATCTCCTGAGGAGGCTTTGCGACCCCAGATTCTGCCCAGGGTCGATCATCAGGGGGCTCCAACTTGCGGGGTGGGAATGTTACATCCCCGGCCAGGGTCTCTGATAGCGGAATTACAGGTCCACCGGGACATCTTCGTCGGCTGTCTGTCGTATCAACGGGCCACCTCGTCCTACCGGGGGCCAGCACTCTGCTGAGTGGCTTCTCTAAGCGGCACCAGATGACAGTGGCTTACAGGCTCGCCTCGCAACTCTTGACCACCAGCTGTCAGCTGACAAGGCAATAGTGCGATAGGCAAATTTTCCGAGCGTCTCAGGGCTCTTTGTGAAAGGTCCCTGAGTGTAAGTACTTCATCAGCGACGGCCAGTCTGCTGTGAGCAAGGGCCTCAAGACACCCCACGCCCCACGCACCGCCTTGACCGCGCAATCTCGCTGCAGATGCCCGTCGTGCTCTCTGAAACCCCGTAACCCTCTTCCCTCGCCAAACGACGCGGCTGTGGGGGAAGCCCTGGAGACACGAGAAACACCCATCGTTGGGAAATTTGGATGCTACGGGGAGGCGACCGGCGAGTAACACAGTGCGCGGGCAATGTGCCTCCCTCCCCAAACACGCGCTGGGGCCGGTCGCAGTATTGCTCGCAGAGACAAGGGGAAGTGAGCCGTCACTTCTGAGATAGAATGATACTGGGGAACCTGAGCTGTTAAATTCAGATGCAACGGCGAACGAACGTATCCCTTTTCGGTGGACCACAGTTGCTCCCTCCACCGTATCCACCGACTTGAAGCTTGCATTGTAGATGTCTCCAGTGGGATTCTTTTGGGTCAGGAAAGAGCTGCAGGAATGTTCTGGCTCCCAGATCTGAGCTCACAACCTCACAATCCGTGGTATCAGCACGATGCTGGTGCGTCTGTTTTCCATGACGAGCTCAGCCAGTACTTAGGTACTTCACGTACCCATGTACCCCACACACTTGAGCATGTGCAGGGCGAGAGTGTGGGGAGGCGCGTCTGGATGTTCCTTCCAGGAACACGCGCCTTCCTAGCTGCCTAGCAAGCCACTCAACTCATATATGCTCAACAGCTCGTAGTGCCACCGACTCCGGTGGATTAGACAAGTACTTTTCGCGTCCATCGAATAGAAAAGACTCTGAGGGTCCGACCTTCGCCTCCCCGTTTATTCCCCGGAGTCAAGGCGGGGGTGCGTGTCATGGAGTACCACGAGCGGCATGGGCACGATGTCTGCAGCTTCGACCTGCCCTCTACGCGTACGTAACTCCAAGCAATATCAGCTGTTTTTCCCGCCCACGATTGTGACGACTGTGTCAGATCCAACGCTGACACCATGCTCAGACCGACTGCCGACCGTCTCCGCAGCACAGGCTCTCGAGGACCTGGATGCCAATGTTTCGAGATTCGTATCGACCAATCTTCCTGACTTGGACAAGGCCTTAGCAGCCAGTGCTGCAAGTAGCTCCCCGAGGGAGGAAGCCAACGCCGGTGGCATACAGAAAGGCCACCTCACCGAAATCTGGGGGCCTCCCGGTGTGGGGAAGACTGCGTTCGGAATCCAGGCCGCTGCAGACGTTCTACGAGGTGGCAATGGCGTCGTCTGGGTAGGTCAGTAAGCGCGCGCCATCGCATCACCAAGGGCCCCAAGCTAATGCTAAGGCTACAGATTGCTTCTATCCCGTCTCCCGCGATCGCTTGACGGAGGTGTGCCGAGCCGGAGGAGCTGGCGGTGAGGATGCCGTATCAGACCACCTCGACAGATTTGTTCAGTATTCCTGTCCCAGTCTCGCGCACTTCATCGCCCTGCTGTGCCGGCCCACACGGTCCTCTCTTCCGCCAGACACTGCTCTCGTTGTTATCGACTCACTGTCTGCACTGCTGAACCATGCATTCCCAAGGCTGCCGGCTCAGAAAGCTGCCCCAAAGGCCAGCAGCAAAGGCGAGAAACCCCACGCCCGCCGCCCTCAGAGCTGTGCTATGCTAACTGTCATAGGCCCGTCCATGTCCTCCAAGCGGCTGCAGGTGCTTCAGTATGTAGTCAGTGCCCTACAGAAGCTAGCTGCGACTCGTGATGCTGCAGTAGTCGTACTCACACAATGTGCAACAAGGATGCAGGCGGAAAGAAGTGCGACTCTGATACCTGCCATCAACGCTAGCGTCTGGGAACAAGGCATCGCCACGAGGGTGGCGCTGCTCAGAGACTGGATGTGGGACGATGGTCATCCATACGGGGCCCGTCTTGCCGCATTGCAAAAGGTAAATGGCAAGACGGCTGCAGATGGTCTGGACAAGGTCTTCGCCTTCAGTATCGACTCGGTAGGTCGCGTCACTCCTTGCTGTGTCCGGTATATTCTGCATGCTAAGGGCTCCAGACGGGTTTGGCCCCGGCACAATTTGACGGACATGCTGCGTCTTCCACAACTCCTGGCCCCAAGCGAAAGCTGGGCGAGACCGGCTTCGAAGTCGCCGACAGTGAAGATGAGGACTACGGTTGGCAAGAGAAGGACAGCAGCCTCTTACCAGGGATGCCACCCCAGTGGCAGGGCAGTGAGGACCTTATACTTGGGCAACAAAACCACGGGACCGAAGGTGACATCCACGAAGACTCTGGGCTGGAAGACGACCATCGTTCTGATGAGGAGCCATGAATCACCTCTAGTTGGTCGTGATGATTGCATCCGAAGACCGTCACAGCGAAAATCGTGAAAGCAGCTCCGCGAGGACATGCATGGCACGCACCCATACGCTCTCCAATATCGCTCTGAGGCCGTGTCGCCGTCACTAGGCCGCCCCGCCGATACAATCTTAAAATGCTGGGGTAATTGTCGTGGTTCGGCCGATCATCGGTACGATAGGCCCTTCTGTGGATCCAGTCGTACCGGATTTCAATATCGGCCAATTCCGCTCGCCTTGCCGCCAAAATATTCGGCGCTTGTTAAGGACAATGAGCCCGAAGAACGCTTTTCCAAGTTTGACAATGTCGACAGTGCGACGTCTTTGGCCATCCTGACCAAGTACTCCCCTGAACCACTCAAGCTGACTACCGACGACGCACAACATGCCTGCGACATAGTGTGACCGTTGAGCAAAAACAGGCTCCCTGTGCTTCTGGAAACGGGACCTGCATATGTGTGCACGGCTGTTGTTGCGCGAGGCATTTAGCGAAGCTGGTCTGCACTTCCTTGCATGCGTTATCAGCCTGTAGAGTCTCCAGTGAGTCCTGCGAAAGACATCACGACTCAGTCCTGGCCTACTCACCAAGTTGATATTACCTCCCTGCGCTGGCTCCGCGATGGTTGCATTTTAGCGACATGTCTGATTAGCGAAGTGATGGAGCTCCTCTGAGGACACTCGATGCCAGCCCTTTAGCAGACAACCGCAGAGTCAACTTGGCCGTGAGGTCGAGCCCACAATCACCTCCGTGTACGATCCACTTTTCCATACGCAGCTGCTTTGGTTGTACAGTAAATTCGAAAATGTACATCGTCGAGGTGCGTGGGTCACGGCCTACTGTATATTCGGCCACAAGCCGAGGCTCACCTGAGCAGGGTGTGCGAAAGGATTGATACGTCAACACTGTGGTGTACAACATCCGCCCTGATTCACCCTGCTGCAGATGCGAGAGGCTGGAAAAGTACACCACCGAACAAGCCGGATCTCACAGGTTGCATTTTGTCCGCGATGTGGAAGCTGCAAGTTATCAGAAGCATCTGATATCTGAGGAGTCTGGCACCACTTTCCCCTCTTAGTGGCATGTTAGGCAGCGGATCTACCCGGCCTCGTCCAAGGGCCCGACTGTGGCAACGATCAGCAACGCACACATTTCCTTTCGTCAAAGCTCGTTTCAATGCAATGCGACTGACTGCCTTCGCGTCGCTAGTAGTAACATCTTGACGGCGATAGCTCGCATCGGAATGCAAGCAAGCTTTCCCGCTCTTCCGTCCAGCCACTCCCTACCCCTCGATCGGCTGCATTTAATGCTACCAGCTCATGGGAGGACGGCCCCTGTCCCTGTCCCCCTCGCTCCAAACTGGACATCGGTTCGTCGAAGGCCTGGGGATGAATCTATCCAGCCGATTCGCAAGCATGTGATCGAACCGCTGCGCGCGTATGAACACTTCACGGCAACAGGTTTGTTGTGAGGCGCGGGATGGTATTCTCAAATACTTCTGTGTGTGGCTCACATCCGCCTGCGGTATGTGAACCGCAATATATATATCTCACGCAATATCGGTCGGCACCGCGACTTGTGGAGCCCGCATGCTGCAGAGCCTCGCCCGTCGACAGGCAGAGGTGGCCTCTGGGGTGATCTCGGGACTGGAAATGGTCTGACGTCCCCGCATTGGCGGGCAGGTACATTGGCGATGGCCCCCCAGATTCTGCTATGCAAGCCTCCCTGATCAACCGCCGGCACTGTGCGCGGGACGTTGGGCTCCATGTATCCGAGACATCACATCAACAAGATCACGACCAACCCGCTTGCGACTGCCGGGTCTCCAAGCGGGAGATCTGCGAAACTTGATGCTTACTGGGGAGGGGAGGTCTGGAACCTTCTGACCTTTTGCCATCGATCGTCATGAGCAGTGAAGTACTGCCTCGGTGTGTACCCCTGGCTCGGGCCACAAAGGGCTAAAGGGACCAAGTCGAGGGCAGGCCTTTGGCGGAGGTCTTTCCTCAGTCCTCGATTGGTCATGGTTTGACATTGAAGACCCTGCCTCTCTTGACAGCCAGTGCAAGGGATAAACTTTAGCTCACAAGTCAACACATCTGCTGGTGTGTATGGCCAGTCACATGGGCCTTCTTGTCGATGGTCCCTGGATTTGGGGAGCATTTCACGTGCGGCTTTGCCTTGGGAGGCGCTTGGAAAAAAATCGGCTTGGATGGAAACCTAAACCTACTCTCGGGACCAATGACGGTGGATGTGAGTGGCCATTGCGTGCTTTGAATGTGAAGTAAAATGGGGGGAAGCACGGCGGGATGACGCGAGAGCTGATGAAATTCGAGAACAAGGTTGAGTGAACATAGGGCCAGCATGTGGCCCTTCGTTTATTCTTACTGGCGTTGATCGCCTATCGTCTTCACAGTATATGTATGTACAGTCGTGGTGTATTATGCCCACTGGTATGGAAACTCGTCCAGACTTCTTGCCACAACAAGGTCTAGTACCTGAAGATGGTCCCTCGCGTGGCTTCATGTGCGTTGATCAAATTGGCCTGGATAGGGGTAAACTAGCAATATGGCGCTGTCGAGGTTGAGAGGTCATCACGGAGTGACCGCGTGAGAGTACAAGAGTCTGTACTCAGGCTGGCACCCTTCCATCGGGCCCCCGATAAAAAGTCTAATATCCTATAGACTCCATGAACCGGGGGCCTAGGAGAAAAGTCAGGTACAATCTATCCATCTCGCTGTACATGAGATATACATGACATGGAGCGCGCCACCAACAAACATATGAGACTCCCCCTTCAAGCTTCGACGGACCGGCCTGGGCGGATGCGACGGCGACAACCCGGGCGCACCGTCCGGCGGCCGGGGCTCAGGAGTCGAGGAAGGTTTGATCCATAACCTTCCCTTCCCTTCCATGCCTTCCATGCCTTCCGTCATATGAATGTGCTGAAAGATCTTTGCTCAAGGCTTCTGTGACGGGCCCCGGCTCCAGGCAAGGGTTGGGCTCCTCGCCCACGGTGTTGCGGTTTACAGACGTATGCCCGCACCCCATCGATGGACAGTCAGACCACTCCAACGGAGCCAAGTCCGGCATTAGGAATCTCTCGTCACCGAGTAGCAGGCTGATGAGATTCACCTTCTTCTGCCCTTGCCTTCAGGTACGGGAGGGTGGTTCACTGGGGCCCAGGGTTTCTGCGTGAGCTTCGTGGGCGGGTGCGTCGGGCGGGTTACACAGCTTGTTCCCTGGGGCGAGGAGGCATGAGCGGAGCCACCATATTCCCTCGGCCTTGAATATCGGCTGCCGTTGGAGCGAGGGTGGTGGTCCGACCATCCGGGATGGATGGAGGGAGGACTCGCTCAGAACGACCAGGGCTTGGGAGGATCCAAGTTCTCACGTGGTGGCATGGAGCCCAGGCCGTGGTATTCTGTTCTCGCGTATGTTGCGATGGGGATAGCTTGATGGAAATTGCTGTAGATATCCCACTTGTACGAACTGCGGCGAACATTGGTCGACGGTCTTGCTGGCCAGCCTCTTGTCTCCTGGATATAGGTAATGAGATGGCAGCGCTCGGCCAAGCCACTCCCCTGGGCGTGTTCCCCATCCGTGCTATGGTGAAGACTGCATCTGCCTGATCGTCTGTGCTGGTGTGCTCTGATGCTTGCAGATGGAGAGGCCCCGTTCTCCAGGGAACGTGCTCGTCCCTGTGCTTCAGGGGAAGTGGGTATTCCGTGTGATACGGAGCGAGCAGTCTCGATTCCGACGCTGCTCTCCAGTAAACTGTTCTCCAGGAGTCGAGTGGAGGCTATAGACCCAGAGAGGAGCTGGTTCCAGTAAATGTTTCGATTCGGATCCATGCACTGGGGTGTATTTAAAAACCACATACAATTTCCCATTTCCACGATTGAAAATTAACAGTGGTTGCTTTTGATCGATGCGACCCTTCTATTAATAACCAATCTATCCCCGCTGCCTCACATTTGCTTGTTGTGCGTCCCCCGGGTCCGCCTCGTGTGTGCCCTCCAAACGCCGTTCAACCACCCAATGGACGAGATCATCGTCCGACCAGTATGTCGTGTCGTCCCTTATAGTATGTTGTCCCCCAGACTGCCTCGCCCACCTCTCGCAGTCCGTCCCCGAAATACACCCCTCTAGTGTCGCTTAGTTGCCCAAGTAGCTCCGAATAGCGCCCTGGAGCTTGGTAGCGCCCTCTCCCAAGACCTGGGTCAGGTTCTCCAGATCATCACCCGCAGTGATACCGAATTTGCGGACGAAATCCTTGGCAGCACTCTCCAAATCGCCGTAGTCTTCACCGTTGTCCTCCTCCTCGGGCCGGCCGAAATACGCGTTGGAGGAGATGGCCGTGGCGCCTTCAAACCCTTGCAGGCGGGTCTTGGCTTCGGCTTGGGCATTGGGGTCGAACGAGCCCTTACCAAAGAACTCGTCCGATGAGATACCCTTCTGGTTGCCGAATTTGCTCCTTGCGTAGTTCTCTCCGTCGTCTATAGTAGCGTCAGTAGACTGCACAACAGCAGTGGACCGAGCAGAGAACATACCGTTAGAGGAGGAAGCCTTGATAGGTCCAACAGAGCCAAAACCGCCGACTGCCTTCTTTTGCGCCACAGGCTTGTTGCCCCCAATTTGACCGAATCCCAGACGGCCCATGCCCATGCCCAGTCGCTCCATCTCCGAGGCGGACTTCTCGCGTGTATGGGATGCCGAACCGTAGCCTCCACGTGGCGGGCTGACAGGTGTGGGCGAGACGATGTTGCTGGAATCGCTCTTGATTGCACCCGCCTTCTTCGTCTCAGCCTCCTCCTCATCAGGGTTGTAGCCCAACTTCTCAATGCGCTCTGCCTCCTCTCTGGCCTTCTTCTCCGCCTCGTCGAAATCGATGTCAGCAGTCGTCACCTTTTTCGCGCCAAGTTTGGAGCCCGCCTTCTTTGCGCCCAGGACGTTGGTCTTCCGGGCGCCGGTGGTGCCCTTCTTCAGTGCTGCGGAGTGTGTTATACGGCTAGCGGCAGGCTTGGATTCGGCGGAGTCGGTTCGGGAAAGGGGCGAGGCAGTGCGAGCAATGTCCTTTCCGGCACCGTTCGAGTCACCGGCCTTGAGGAAGGGAGATGGGGTGCGGCCAATAACAGACGGAGTGCCAGTCCGGGAGACTGGCGGGGTGGGTTTCTTGATGGACGGCTTGTCCCAGGAAGAAAAGAAGTCATCATCGGGTTCGCCGGCCGGAGTGGAGGTGCCGTCAGCGGCGTCGCCATCGGTAATGACAACCTCGCCAGGATACCTATTCGCTGTCAGTCAAACGACAGGACAAGGGCAAATGGTGCGCTCCCAACGTACTCTTGGGCGTCCCTAGCTGCCCGCTTCTTGAGCTCTTCCTTGTACTTGGTTGCAGCGTTGGACTGGTACTTGGTCTTGGGATCCTTGCTGTTAAGGGCGGCAGTTCCGCCGTTCTGCTGGAAGAACTTGGTGGCAGACTCGTTTCCACCAACCTTCATGATACGGAGCTGGTCCCATTGCCATTCTACTCCGTAATCAGCGGTGCCGGATGTGCGCGGTTCGCGGTGGACACTTACGGTCGAGGTTGGTCGATCGAACAAAGGAGATGTGGACACCGAGGTTTCGATGGTTCGATGAGCAGTCAAGGCACAGGTAGATGCCCAGAGGTACGGATGTCCATGTTGGATTCTTCTGTCCACAATCAAAACAGATCTGTGTGGCCGGCGAAGTCAGCAACGTCGGCGGGAGAATGTGGAAGCTCCGCATTGTGCAGGATGGCGATAAGCTTCCTGGAATACGCCGGTGCGCATTGCATATGACACCACGAACCTTGTTGGCTGGCTTTGTCTTCAACTTCTCGAAGATCTTCAGCGACTGCTGCTTGGACGCAAGCCCGCTCATTTTGGCGACGGAAGATGGTCGGCGCTGGAAGACGAAATATCGTGTTTTCTGTGCAATTCCGGGAGTAAAGACTGGATGCTTGGGTTCTGTGCTTCCCGGAGGCGACGGGGCAGTTGTTGAGCAAGTGGGTGGGCGACGGGATGCTGTAGGATGGATTAAGGGGTTGAAAGGGACAGCGCGACGAATTAATTGCAGTGAAGCCCAATACCACCGACTAAGCGCAGAGGTCGGTCCCGCAGTGCGCCAGTGACCACTCTTTTGCTGTGGTGGCTTTTGAGTGGCGTCTAGCCTTCTCGGGCCTAGCGCATCGGGCCCCACAACCTTGCCTTCCAAGGTTGGTCCAGCATTCAAGCTCCAGATATTGGGCTGTGGTGGACATCTGATGAACCCACTCTATCCCTCACCAAGGGAAAAGCTCCAAACTCATTGCGCCTCTCACGCATTTTCACGCAAAGCACCTCCCTCTCATTGCCCCTGTGCGATGGAAGCGTTCCAGCAGCCAGGATGAAGACAATCGCAACCGCGTCAATCTTGCGACCGGCCACCGTCATCAGCAGCTGTCACCCGGCGCTGCTCCCCCTCGCCGCGCGGAGGAATTATGCGACGCCAGGAGGCTCTTCATCTACCTCGAAACGGCGCTCGGTGACCCCCTTCAACGATGATGGACACGTGCCATGGACTCAGCTGTCAGGGGCCGAGAAGACGGCCAGGGCAGCACAGCAGTCCTTCAACTTCGGCTTCATCTTGGTCGGCGTCGGCCTGACCGGTGTCGTCGGCTACTTCCTCTTCACAGACGTCTTCTCGACCGAGAGCAAGACCACTTACTTCAACCGTGCCGTCGATCGCATCAGGAAGGACCATCGGTGCCTCGAGCTCCTCGGAGAGGGCAAGAAGATCAGGGCGCATGGCGAAGAGACTCACAACAGGTGGGCGAGGTCACGGCCGATCGCCTCGACGGAGAGGACGGACCCTCAAGGAAACCATCATCTCCTGATGCACTTTTATGTGAGCGCCATTATTCTCTGTACGGTGTAGTGCCTGAATTTGTCACTGATGATCTAAAAGCTCGAGGGCCCCCTCAACAAAGGCTCGGCGCACATACACCTGATCAGGTATGCCGGGCACAGTGAGCACGAGTACAAGTATTTCTACGTCGACATCAAAGGGCAACAGAGGATATACCTCGAGAATGCCGATGCCAAGTCGCGTGAAGACGGAGGCCGTAAAGGGACGAAGCTGTTTGGCATCAAATGGAGTTGAATGGCAATCTTTTGGGCGACGAGGGTGCTCATCGCCATGCAACCACGGTTATCAGCATTGCAAGCGCTCATGTGTCATGATTGTGACAGAAGTATTACTGCATATACTGTAAAGTATGAACAAATTGAGTGAGTTGCTCAGTGGGTGACTGTACACGCTGTGGACGGGTCTGTGGTGCGAGACCTCTTAATTACATTGCATTCACGCGTTTGAGAAACACCATGCGCGGTGGTGAGTGCGAGTGGGCGTAGTGCATTCAAAACGGTCACATTCATTTTCTCATTCTCTGAACGCCCTGTGTCGTCTAATACGGCAACAAAGACATCTTGCAATGCGACTCTTGTAGCACTCGCCTCACCATACATGGCCCACGCAACTCTCGGCCAAACGAAATGCAATGCAGTATCCGGGACAAACGACAAAAAAAAAGTTGTTCATTTACAGCTTCGACGACACCTTGACCAGCTGGCTCCCCCTCTGCAGCGACGCGGCAGCATCATTGACAAACTCATCCACAATCTCCTTCGCGTTCTTCTTCTCATTGCAGACGGCGGCGCACTGGCCCATGAGGAAGGGCCGGAACTGGTCCATGAGCTCGTCGACGTCGACGTCGTCCGCGGTGGCGCCGCCGACGTCGAGGCCCTTGGGGGGCTCCTTCATGTCGCCGTTCATGACGCTGTCGAGGTCCTTCTCGTAGGGCAGGACGCCCTTGGAGGTCAGCTCCCTGATCTCGTCCTGGCGCTGGGTCTCCCAGTTGACGATGTAGGGGTTCTTGCGGACGCGCAGGGGCCGGCCGGTGAAGATGAGGGTGCGGATGGTGTCGTCGAAGCTGGCGGTGCGCACGGCCTCCTTGTGGGCCTCCGGGGCGCCGGCCTCCTCGGACAGCACGAAGCGGGTGCCGACCCAGACGGCGCTGGCGCCCATCATGAGCGAGGCGGCCAGCAGGTTGCCGTTGTGGATGCCGCCGGCGGCGATGACCTGTACGGGCTGGCCGGTCAGGGGGCTCTTGTGGCCCTTGACGGCGTCGACGACGGCGGGGATCAGGATGGTGGTGGGGACGTCACCGGTGTGGCCGCCGCCCTCGCCGCCCTGGGCGCAGATGATGTCGACGCCCAGGTCGAGGCACTTCTTGACGTGCTTGGGGTGGCCGATCATGTTCATGTACAGGATGCCGTTCTTGTGCAGGCGCTCGACGACGTGCTTGGGCGGGACGCCGACGGCGGAGACGAAGAGCTTGGCACCGCTCTCGATGACGATGTCGATCAGGGCGTCCAGCTTGCCCTTGGTGTAGTCGTAGTTGGTCTTGCGGGCGCTGCCGCCGACCTGGGGCAGCAGCAGGTCGACGCCAAAGGGCCCGGACTTGTCGGTCAGGTAGGACTTGAGCTCGTTGATCTGGTCGCGCAGCATGTCCGGGGTGTAGTTGACACCTCCGATGACGCCCATGCCGCCGGCGTTGGTGACGGCAGCGGCCAGCTTGGGCCCTGCGGCGACGTTCATGCCGGCGAGCAGGACGGGGTGGTTGATCTTGAACAGATCAGTGATCGGGGTGCGGATTTTCTCTGTTTTTCGAGGACTACTATCAGCATGTGCTCAACTTGCGGTCTGAAGGGGGTAGGGAGAGGAGAAGGAGGGGGAGTGGCGTGTGAGGATACGCACGTGGTGAAGCCATCTTGACGGTATTTGCTGTTGTCGTATATACAGACTGCCTGGACGAGACACTGAAGCCAATGTGACGAAGGGAATTTAAGAGAGGAAAAAGACGACCAGAGGTTCAAGAAGTGTCCTTTGGGAATGTGAGGCACGTCGCGGGAAGGAGAAGGGGGAGGCGGCGCGGGCGCATCGTGCGAACACACATGTTCGGCGATTGGGTGTGGAGAAACGATCTGGGGTCAATGAGCCGAGGCACAGACTCGGTTGCCTGACGATGTGACCCGGCACATCGGTGCGTCGGTGCAATCAGCGCATCAGGGTCGCAGCATCATCGCCGTGCAGATGTGCCGAGGCAAGTCTGTTCGCTACGCTCACTTGCCTCACTTGGCTTGCTTTATTGTTGTTGGTCCGCTCTGTTTCGCATAGCAGCTATCCAGGACATGTAGTCTAGATGGTGTGTCATCATGAGCCAGGACATGTCTCTTCCTCTACCAGCCTGTCTGTCTAGGGCCCCGTAGTGTAGACCACGGCAGGTAGGAACATGTTCCCGCCCTTGACCCAGGCGGTTGGGCCCCGCTAGTACCCGGTGGGGTGCTGTGCGGCAGTGCCCCATTTATTTTCCGCCCGCTTGCCTGACTCGACCTGGGCTGGGCTGGCTTACATAGAGCCTCAATGGGCGGGACTCGGGTCTGTCTGTGTGGTTGACTGGCTCTGAGTCGACTCTGCTTTCGGGAGCCGGCCAGGCCTGCTGTCAACAGGACTCGCCCAATCATGACTCGATCCTCTCGGGAAACGGGCCATCAGAGAGGCGATTCCAGAACTAATTCTCATCGACCTCACCGGGCCTGATGAATATGAGGGCCTTCTCATCCACTTTTCCAGCACGCTCCTTGTCCTCCAGAACATGTAGCCATGTCTTTAGAGCGCCGCCCTCAAGGTCTGCAACAGTCCAGGCCCGCCCACCATCCTCCGCCGTAGTCAGCGCCAGGGGAAAATCCTTTTCGTCTTCAACACCAAGGCCCAGACCCGCTCACCAGCCCCAGGAGCCAAGATCATTCACCCGGTACACCTTGCCTGCCCAGATCCGCATAGACCGTGCCAGCGACATGACCGTCGACAAGCGGCCCCGCAAGGCCTACATCGCCTTGGGGAGCAATCTTGGCGACCGCATCGCCGAGATCGAAAGGGCCTGTCGTGAGATGGACGCAAGGGGCATCGCCGTCACGCGCACGAGCAGCCTGTGGGAGACAGAGCCCATGTATGTCACCGACCAGGACCGCTTCGTCAATGGAGCTTGCGAGGTTGGTCAGCCCGTCTCAGCCTGCCATCCCATTCATGTGGCCAATAGACTTACACGGAACAGGTCGAGACCACCTTGGAGCCTCTTGACCTCCTGGACCAACTCCAGGCCATCGAGAACTCCATGGGCCGCAAGAAGGTGATTGACAAGGGGCCAAGGAATATCGATCTTGATATTCTCCTCTACGAGGACCAGGTCGTGGATCATGACAGACTCAAAATTCCGCACATCGGCATCCCAGAGAGGGAGTTCGTGCTCCGCCCTCTGGCAGAGTGAGTGAGCCTCTTTCTCTCGCATTCTTGCTTTTTCACTCTCAAGACTCACAACGTCCAGGCTTATCCCTACCAAGGCGTTGTACCCGCAAAATCCCTGGAAATTCACACAAGACTACCTCAATGAGCTCGCGCCTTCGTCACCACCACTGACGACGCTCACTCCCTTGTCCGTCTCTCAGCCCCCTCTGCAGGCCTTCAAGCCCTCTCGCAAGACCCACGTCATGGCCATCCTCAACATGACCCCCGACTCCTTCTCCGACGGCGGTATGCATCCGGCCTCAACACAGCCAAGCCTCGCAGTTACCATCCGGTCCTTCGTCGCCTCAGGAGCGACCATGATCGACGTCGGCGGACAGTCCACCGCGCCGAACCGCCCCGAGGTCACCGCCGAAGAGGAGCTCGCCCGCGTCCTGCCCGCCATCAAGCTCATCCGCTCCATCCCCGAGGCGAGGGATGTCCTCATCAGTGTGGACACGTACCGTGCCTCCGTTGCCGAGGCGGCCGCCCAGGCCGGCGCCGACATCATCAACGACGTGTCAGCCGGCGTCATGGACCCGGACATGCTGCCGACCGTGGCGAGGCTGGGCAAGACGGTGTGCCTCATGCACATGCGCGGCACGCCGGCCACGATGAGCAGCCTCAACGACTACAGCGGCAGCTCCGGCAGCGAGAGCGACGGGCCGCCCGCCGCGGAGGGCCTCACGGGCGACGGCCTCATCCCGGCCATCGCGCGGGAGCTGCTGGAGCGCGTGGCGGCCGCGGAGGCGGCGGGCGTGCGCAGGTGGCGCATCATCCTGGACCCGGGCTTGGGCTTCGCCAAGCTGGGCGAGCAGAACCTGTCCATCCTGCGGCACCTGCACGAGCTGCGGGTGTGGCCCGGCCTGCGGGGGCTGCCGTGGCTGGTGGGCTCGAGCAGGAAGAGCTTCGTCGGCAAGTTCACGGGCGTGGCGCGCCCTGCCGACCGCATCTGGGGCACAGCGGCCACCGTCGCGGCGGCGGTCGAGGGCGGCGCCGACATCGTGAGGGTGCACGACGTCAAGGAGATGGGCCAGGTCGTGAGGATGTCTGATGCCATCTGGCGATACTGAGCAAACTGAGTGCCTGGGCGTGGACGGAGGTGTGTGAGAGGTTCACGGGAAGGGGGCAGGGGGGGCGCTTGGTGGCTTGAGATCACACACCCATGAATGCAGACCGGCTCAATGAATGGGTGCCATCTGTTGAAAAAAAATAATCAATCCTGATTCCCGCGTTGCATGTGGCCCGATCGGATGCATCGCCCTTAATTTCCGAACAAATCAACTCGGCGGGCGGTCAACATTGAGAGGAAAATCCCCAAGCAGGCTGCTTGCCTGCCTGTCATGCCCTGCCCAGCCTGCTTGCCGCATATGGGCAAGAGACTGCGGTCCCGAGCTGCGCATAGCTAATCACAACGCCTCCTTCCCTCGGATCGCCAGGTGCAGATCCGCCCCCCTCCCCCGGACCCCCTTCAACAGTGTTAAGCACAGCGGATGGTGGGTGGGTGGTGGGTGGGTGGCCGCTCTCCGATGAGGCCATGCCAGGTCCCCCCCCCCTCTTAGTCGTAGATCGTGCATGGTGAGGACATTTGCAGCGCTGGACGCGGCCCTCAACAATGGGACCCCCTATCATCAGTCAACGGCAAAAGGCTGGGCACGCGAAGTGTTGCCCTCGGGCAAATAAAGCATGTGCCTGCCTCTCTGTCCAGGCCGTTGACGAGAGGTGGCCGCCGGAAAAAGCCGTCTCTGTCCTTTACTTTCACTCCACGGCCAAGTGAAGAACCAGAATTATCGTCTCCTTACGTCCTGACCCCCCTCGCAATATCATATGTCGCTCCGACATCAATAATCCTCTGCCTTGCAGCTGTACCGGCGGGCAGTGCATTCCGAGTCGAACATTGCCTGCACGATGCGTCCACGCGCGAGGGCAAGCCCGTCCGTTCCTTTTCCTGTCGCGTGACTAGGCAACAGGCGACACATTCCGCAGCCGGTGTAGCTGGCCCCTCATCGATCGCAAGAGGGGGGGGGGGGCATTGGCACGTACATCGCCGGTCCCATCGATTGTTGAGGCGATTCACATGGTTCTCTTCCTCGTCCACATGAGATATTGAGACGTGCCGAGGGGCGGAGAACGATGTCCGCACACCCACAATGGGTGTGGGCAGGCATGAAGAGATTGCTGCGCTGGCCTCGCTTGGGGGGGGGGGGGGGGTTGCAGGGAGGGACAGGGAGGGAGGATCACCCACGGTCGTGCTATAGGACGGGCATGTGGTTCGGGGAGGCAGGAATAGAGACCGCTGGATGATCACGAGTTGGGGGAAAAAAAACCCTTTTGTTGGGAGCTACGCGGCTTGAGCACGTCAATGTGCAAAGCAGACCCTGCCGGCAGTTCAAATTTGGTCGCTGCCTTCTGCCAAGTAGTTCCGGAATGAAGACAATGATGAACATTAGGCGAGGCCTCATGTGAATGAGGGCTATGTTCTGGAGGGATGGCTTCCACAGGGCGCCGACGAGTGGTATGGTTGCATCTTTTGCCAACTACAGCAGGACAATTGAAGTAGTTTCGTTCCCATACGGCGTCAAATTGGGAATAGAACATGGCAATGAAGCCGGTGGCATGCAGATTTGTTTATTGACAGGTCGATCCAATTGTAATTCTAGTGCGAATGCAGCTCTGGGTCCATCTCAACAGCGATAGGATGACCTCTGCCAGCTCTCCTCGCTCTGATTATCCTTTCCGTTAACCTCGCCTCATAAATCAATTCCCTGTATTTATCAACCTTTCCGGACTCTTGCGCCGCTGGAGGCGCATAGCCCGTGGTCAGAACGACGGTCTCGATCTTACCCCAATCACCAACCCAGTCGATCATGTCCGTCTCATCGTTGGGACCATGTGAGTGGGCCGTGAGGACCTTCGCCCACGGCCCGCAGCCCGTAAGGTCCAGATACTCCAGCCCGTACAGGCTCTTGCTGAGCTTTCGCAGGACCAGGATCGCCTCGGACCAGTCGTCATCCAGTGTGTGGCTGTAGGGGTTCCGACCTCCGTATTGGAACGTCTGGCCCTGTGCACTAACCACCTTGGCAAATGTTGCATTCGGCGTGAGGGACGGAATGGGCCAGTAGGCGAGGCTGAGGTGTGTTAGGGTCGGCAGGTGTGATGAGAAGGCAAGGAGTTGCCTCCAGGAGCAGAGAGAGCTGGTTTCGGGGCTCGCGGCCAGCGAGAGATGTGTGAGATTTACGAGAAGAGGTCGAGGGATAGCTGTGGATTCCGGAGCGTCCCACGAGTCCAGCAGCGGCCCGTCGCCGGCAGGATTTGTAGGGAATAGGAAGGACGAGAGCTCGCGAAGCTTGATGGACCTTTCGATCGATGTTGACAGGTCTAGATGAGTGATGCCCTCGTTCAAGGAACTGGGACTTGGCGGGGGCTCTGCCACGTCTTCGTTGACGGTATCGTCTTCGGGAGCTTGAGGTAAAAGTATAGTCTTCAAGTCCAATAACGACAAGCCTGGCTCAAACGTCGTGTTGACAATGTGAATCAGAGCCATTCGAATCCGATCGGGCAGGTTGAAAATATAGTAGAGATTGTAAGACCTTTGATATTCCCAATCAAGGGCCATGTTCCGCAGCGCAATGTCCATCAGACTTCGCTCCCCGGGCCGGTAAAGGCCAGGGAGCAGTCGTTGTTGGTACACCTCAGCATCATGGCCGTTGGACTCGAGCCTTGGAGCATGCCGCGACGACGATAACCAGCTGCGCGGCGGCGCTGGGCCGGCTGGCAGCCTTCGGCCCTGAGCATCAAAGCGAGGGGCAAATCGAGGCCGCCTCCTTGGAGGTGGTGCCGGTGCTTCCGGAACTCCAGGTAATAGGATCTGGCGGATCTGTGGCGGCACGCTTGGGGCTGCGATGTCCGTAACACTGGCTGAGGTCTGCTGGTCACTGCTGTCCAGCCTCGTGCGTCTAAGGGACGCTAGGAGCTGATTCACACTCGGTCGATGGTGATCTACAAGCCATGAGCGCCACAAAGTCAGCGTGCATGAGGTACAGTATGTGAGGAGAGATATGCCAGTGAAGCGGCCATGGGGTAGGTGGAACAGCGGGCATATGCATCGATGCAGGGCGCTCTGCGTCAGTATCAAGGCGGGCAGGGGAGTGAGGCAGAGACGGTCTAGATGAGATGGCGCTGGCACTCACCTTCATTACGCGCTGCTGACGTGGAGCTACTTGCGAGAGATGCCGGAGCTGTGGACTGTGGTTTGGAGAATCTGTTGGTGTGTCTTTTCTTGGGCATAACCACACGAGGCCGGGCGGCGCCTGTCCTCGCCGTGTCACCCAGATACAACAGGTGAGATACCGGGCAGCAGGCGTGGTCCTCCTCACTTGCCGCTTCCCGTGACAAGTCAGGTGAGAGGGAGGCCGAGAGCAGGCTCGGGAAATGCAGCGAATGTAACAAAGGCGCACAGGAGGGGAAAGGGGGAGGAAGGAGCAGGCTGGTCCTGGGCCGGTGCTTCGAGAGCAGCAGACAGGACGAGGAAGTAGAAAGACAACAAGATCCCAGACGGGTACTGGCAGGGCAGGTCTGAGTCAAACCCAGGTGTGTACTAACTGCCCAAGTGGGTAGTATGTACGAAGGATGCAGCCAGGATCAGTCACGTCGTCAAGTTTGCCCCACTGGAGACTGACAGGCAAAGTAGACAGGTGCTTTGGGACACCGGGTGCGATGGGGTGTGGATGGGATCGGATGCAATGGAATGGCACGGAATCGCATGGGATGGGACCGAGGGCGCTGTCGTCAAATGTCAAGCCTCAACCTTCAATCAAGCTTGCGAGGATCGCGAGGGTTGCAAGGATGGGTGGAGGGGATGGATGGCTGATGACTGATGACTGGGTCGGTCAATGACTGGTTTGATTCGGCCGAGGCAAGCGAGAGGTCAATCGTCCAAGCTGCAGCCTAGAGATGCTTGGCCCATGCGCCCCCCCGGTGCTTGAAGCCTGCTGTGAGTGAGAAGATACCCTTGTACTCGGGTACCTTCTGTAGGTACTTTCATACCCCCCTCCCCGGGCCTGGCCCAATAAAAAAACCAACAACAAAAAGAACAAAGGTTGATGAAAATAGCCCCCAGCCCTGATGCTGAGAGATGTGCAGACGCTACAGGGTCCAGGGGTCTTATGAATTTCTGAAGAGCCTGCTAAAAGTTTGACATCTCGTTACCAAACATATCTAGGCACTGGGTAGTAGTGTGGGAAGAGAAAGGGAGAAAAAGGGTGGGGGACAGAAAGGGGGGGGGGCTGATGCTTGCTCATCACATCACAGCCATTGTAGTCCTGACCAATAAGTGACAAGACCGTTGACGTCGAGGCATTTCGAGGCCTAGGGCTTCCAGAAAGTCCGGGCCAAGTTCACGAGATCTGCCGTCTGTGCTCAGAACGTCAAGCTTTTGTCGTGAACGATAAGGAGGGCTAGCAGGATGAACCGTCGGCGATTTCCGCAATGTAACGGCCGTTTCCACTGCGTGCGTGCATTTCCCAGGAAGCTTGCTCTAGACCCTCCGGAGGGGCCTTTCCAGCAGTGCCAACAAGCTTTGGCGGATCGTTTCGATGGCAGCTCCTGCTGTGGTGTGTGAGCTAGGGTGAGGTGAGGCAGCCTCTAGCAGCCTCTAGCAGCCTCTTGCAGCCTCTTGCAGCCTCTTGCCCAGCTTCAGAAAAGGGGGGTCCAGGTGCGTGGGAGGAAAAGGAGCGAGAGAGTCAGAGGTTGAGTGACAGAGTGTGTTCGTCCAACTCCGGGCGAGCGACCCGGGCGCACAAAGGCAGAGAGGCACTGTCACTCAGCTGCCACCCCTTGTCCTGTCCCATGTACAGAGGCACTCCAGAGTGACCCCCTGAGCGTTGCTTTCCTGAGTCCTGCCTGCCGTCGTCTGTTTGCCTTCTTCTCGCGCCTCGCCCCCCCATGCAGAGAGTGGTTCGACCTCCTGCGGCTGCAATGGCACACCAGGGGGAGATTGGACCTTGCGTACCGTGTTTGGCCCTTGGGGGTGTTGGAGCCCGTGACTTGATGCCTGACCGGGTCACGTTTCTTGTCACGTTGGCGATCAAGTGCTTGCCAGCACGCCGCCTCTTCTCATGTACCCATCCGTCACTTTGGTGACACGGCCGGGGGTACTCTGCTGTGCGCTATCGATCCGCTCTGGGCGGACTTGGTTGGTGGATGGCGAATCCGCACGTAACACGGGCTCCAGCTGTGTTCGTCATGTTGGTCGGGATATTCCTGCCTGGCCCTGGTCCTGCGCCCCCGTCGATTTCGGTCTGCCCTGCTCGTTGGGGCCCTGCCCATCGTCCATCTGCCGGCCGCAGACAAGGCCATTGTGAGCAGACGGATGCCAGGGGCTTGCCGGGGCCCCGGGGAGGGCCCGTAGCAAACGTCTTCGGCACCTGTGAGGGCGCAAATCACATTGGGAATCACGCGTCTTCGCACAAGGAGCACTGCTTCAGCAAAGCACAATCCCGTTCTGGTCGACCCCTGAGACACTGTCTCGCAAGGCGTGAGCATTCGTAACCCATTTCCCCATGATCTGAGCTGCGTACTGCTTGCTGGTTGTCGAGATATCCTGGCTTATGCCATGCCGGGCCGGCAGTATGCCTTCATGACCCATGCCAGTGCGACCAGCAGTGAGACTGCCCCATCAGCTGCTACACACTGAGCAATCTTGGTCGTGTAGGTGATAACGCCTTGGGCCAGATGCAAAGCGCCGGCCCCAAGCTTTAGGGCCCGTAACACGTTACAACGAACGAGTGGAGAAGTGAGGTCTTTAACGGCGGCCAACATCAGCTGCCGCCGCGTTGATGACGGGCGCGCGAAATCGAGCCCCAAGATACCATGCTACTTCCCGGCGTCACCATGGGACTACCGTCTGATCTGAAACAATCTGTGGCTGCCTGCCCCTGCTGAGCAAGTCAATGAACACCCACGACAATCTCGGCAAAGACGACGTCCATCACGATGGACCTGTACCCCTTCTTTTTGCTGTTCCAAAGGAGCCTCGAGTCTTGGCCTGCAGAGTCTTAGCGGGCGCCCTGTCCGAATAGGGAGACGGCTCATTCCGCGGTTCGTGCCAGGCCACAGCATGAGTGAGGCCTACGGCAGTCCGAGATCCGACTGGTAAAGGCCATCGTGGCAAAGGCAGGCGGGCGTATCGTGACAGCAGTGTTGAATATCGCGCCCGATTCGGAAACGGTTAGCGAGCTAGCGCGGAAACGACGGACCCGATCTAGGCGAGGCCAGGAACTTGGGCGATGTAGGCACGAGGCGATCCCACATCATGATCCGATCTGAAGAAAGGCCTGTTCGGCAGATGTGTCGAGCCAACTGTTGCAACGCCAGATTGGTTCATGCAAGAGTAGCCCCAAGGGATCGACCCTCATGGATCTGTTCTCTTCCGCCTTTGGTGGCCGGATGCGTCCAGTCGTCAGCATCGGACGTTGTGTGGACCAGGCTGCGTACCTATCATTTCTTAATTTTACCTCCCCCCGTTTCGAAATCTGTGTTTCTATGAGTGTATCTGAAGTAGAGTAGATGTTGGTTGAAAGACACTCACTGTATTGTTCAAAGGTATCATCCATAGCTCTGATATTGAACCAACCAGGTGCTCACATACGGAACCGCCGCGTAAGAACTCGTAGAAACGAACTCCAATTCTGAAAGATCAACGCGAAGCAGAGTGTCAGGTATAAATCCAATGTTAGGTCTTGCACCGGCAGACAAAAGTGCCTGAAAGTCTCAAGTACCGTGATTAAGTCACAAAATTATGTGAGCTTAAGACCAGTCTGTGAGCAAGACCGTGCTCAAATTTTGATATATCGCGTCTGGGGAATTTGTTTGGCTGCTGAGTCGAACAGCTGCATTCGCCGGGTGTGAAACGATAACACATAACTCTCGCTATTGCTTGATCGGTCGGCGTGAGAGCAGGGTGTGGTTCTTGACCAGGAAATCGTGGCTGTCTAGTGATCCCGAATGATTCGACATGACCAATATACGAGCATGAAGCTTTTGTAGTCTCGGCCCTCCAAAATCTCCCCTGGTTATGTGCCTACCTAATGAAGCCTCGGGATCCTGCCGGTGTTCACAGGGCGGCGAAAGGCCAACGTGCATTGGCAATGACGATGTTGCAATTGCTGACCTTTGAGAGGAAGGCTCTGACATAACAGGCCCCTTCCAGCTCTTGATACGCGCTGGCGGTGAATGACCAGGATAAGTGACTAATTTGCTGCCTCTGCCAACTCCTGTACAGCGAAAGTGGCCGCGGTAGGTGCGGAGTCACCGCCAGACACAAAGTGCAGATGCTTCGGGCGGCCAGTGAGACCCTCCCTGTGATTGTAACTGCTTGTGCGATGCGCCCTCAGGACAGTTACCTCCTTGTAAGTGCCCCATGATTGCTAATCAGTTCTGGAGGCAACGACTGCATACCTGGACAGTGTCAATCAGCAGTTGAGAAATACGGAAGCCGTCCCATCAAGTTACGCCGAAGTTGAATGTCGGAGTGTCGAATGTTCGTTGGCGTGACAGAAAGAAGGCTGGCTCTGGCTAAATGGCAAAACGCCATGACAAACTACACAGTCTGACAATGAGAAGACCGCGGGTCTTGACAAGATGGCACAAACAACAAGTTTGTCCATGTAGCATACGATAGGAGAACGTCTAACGGTATGCTACCGGTGAGGCCAATCAGTGTGATGTCGAACAGAACTGTTGGCGTCGGGAATTGGGGGACGTTCATCGCAGATATTTCGCCCTATGGACTTGCAGTCGAGCACCGCCGCGCCACTTCCCTCACGGCTTTGCGGACAAGCAACGTCAGACAGGGCAGCTGAACTGGCCAGGGGCGCTGGGGGCGGCGGCGCTGCAAAACCTGAAACCATCCGCGCTGTCAAAGTACGTCAATACACCCTGTGCACTCCGCTGTGTCTCTAATGTACCGGGCTCTGCTGTGGCCGAGGGGTTTGGAACTGAGTCGACAGTGGCTTGATGATAGATCCTCGGTACCTGGCGGCGACCTGGCTTTGTGTTCCCCTAGCTGCTTGCGATAGGCCAAGCTAGTACAACAGCTTTGTCCTGGTACTTGGTTGTACGACACACCGGACACTGCGAAATGACGACTTCTTGAAACAAGAAGCCTCTTCTCGTGAGTGGAGGGGAAGGCCGACAA